GACAAGTTTTTTTAGGTTAAAGAAGGTTAAAAATGTGCGTGACGTCACGTCGACCTTTCGCCGATTTATTGTCACTCAAATGCAGTCTTGTGAAGTGTGTTTTTTAAGCTGACATTTCTGGCGGCACAAGTGTTTGAACATCAAGGAAATTTCAATCATCTTCGTTTAGAGATTCAGCTTAATTGGTTCGGCAGTAAAAATAAACCATAATTTTGGTGAATTGATCATTACCTTAAGGAGATGGGATGAATATGCATATTTTGCTTCCTGCTTTGATTGTGTGATGGACTATAATAATCTAAATTGATGGCAAAAAAGAGATCCCTATCGAGCTACATCTTTCAATAATCAATGCAAATCCGCAAAAACAGAGATAACTTTTAAGATAAAACTTACGTAAAGTATAACTGTAGCTAACAAAAATTAACAAAATTAATTAAAAAAATGTAACGGCTTTTTGCAAAACTGGTATTTCGGGCCGGGCTAAGTCAAAAATTGAAAAGGCGTTTTATTTGTGTTAAGAATGCCGCACAAATAATGTGCTTTAATTTAATTTGTTTACCACTTTTTACAGTTGTCACACTTTCGAATCTAATTCATTCCACATAAAAATAACTGCACTACAAACTTCGCTTTTATATAAATGCAAAATGGTATTTGCGGAGGTGTCATTTTCTGGGAATTCAGTGAAAGTAGTGGCAATAAAATGAGATGAAATGTGGTCGTGGAAAACTCTACCGGAAAGTGACACATTTTTTTTGTTTAGAGAAAAACAAGCTGGAGTATAATTAATTAATCAACTAATTTCTCAGTTGAAGGCACATTCTGTCAAAATTTTGACAATGACGTTTTATAAGCCAAAGTTTTAAGTTATTTATTAGTGATTTAAGGTTATGTTTCATTTTTATTGTCAGTTGGTTGATGAACGTCTCTATATTAAAATAGAAATGATACGCCACTGGTCAAATTCTAAGTGATACGTGTCAGTCACGTGGTTTTCTCATAGTATCATCGTGCCATATGACCGAATAAAAAAGTCCTCTAGTGGGCTATGAAATTTAAATTTCATGACCTACTAGAGAACTGTTTTTTTTCTCGATCATATGGTGTGTTGAAATTTGATGAGATATTTTGTTCCAAGATAATAATTTATGTAAAAATCAAACACAGAGATTTACTTGACAATATTTTGGAATAACTTCATCAATTTTTTGGATGAGGTTTAAAATTTCAAACTAATCGTTTGAACAGAAATCAAATTTTTTCACGAACTTCGTACTTGAATTGGGTGATAATTTCCTCGAGTGGATTCCAGAATCAAAAATGCACCACCTGTTGATTTCAGTTTAAAAAATAAAAAGTCTAATACGTTTTAATTGTTCTACGATTGGTACTACAAAGTTTGACAGCTTCTTGTCACGGATTTTACAACTTGAAGTTTGAAAATGGAAGGAAACTGTCAATAAACACAAGCTTAAATTAGTTCTAAATAGAATAAATTGCTAAAACTGACACTGACAATGTTGCCAGTTGTATTTTGAAAAAAAAAAGTGATATTGGTTGATTTTTTAATAACATATTTAATAATTTGACTTAATATTTCAGTTATTTGAAAAGGCAACTTTGCAATAACATATACCGCGTGATCAGAAATGACTGAGTCTGTTGGCAATCCTGGATTTTTAGTTGAAATTGGTATTATGATGACATATCTGTCACACAATTACTTCCATAATGCCAACATAAATGCACGAAAAGATCACATTTTTTTTTCAAAAGTATTGCCAACAGATTCAATCACTTCTGATCACACTATACAACCTCTTTATTTATCCATACGCACAAATATTCTTTCAATATATTGGGTGTTCCATTGAACTAGTTTCATTTCATATCTCAGTTAATTGAAAAGACAATTTTGAAATTTAGACTGATTAATTTCAACAAAAAAAAAATCTATAAAATCAACCGACACCGGCAACGTTGTATTTTCGATTTCTTTTTCAAGTTGGTCATTAGTACTTGCTAAGATAAAACTGATTTTGGCAGATGAGGTACCCTCTAAGAAAAGAGAGGGTGGGTGGGCGGGGCTAGTACCTGGTAAGATAAGACTGATTTTGGCAAATGGGACATACTTTGAGAAAAGAGACGGTGGGTGGGCGGGGCTAGTAGCCAAAATATTGGGTGTTCCATTTTACTACTTCCACTTAATTAATATCTCAGTTATTTGAAATGACCAGTTGGAAATTTAGACTGATTAATTAATAAAAATATCTCTAAAATCAACTGGTTGCCAGTTGTATTTTCGATTTTTTTTTTAAGTTAAGTTTAAGCTGATTTTGGCAAATGAGATATCCTTTATGAAAAGAGAGGGTGGGTGGGCGGGGCTAGTACCTTGTAAGATAAGACTGATTTTGGCAAATGGGATATACTTTGAGAAAAGAGAGAGGGTTGGGGGGCAGGGCTAGTAGCTAGCAAAATAAGACCGATTCTGGCAAATGATATACCCTCTAAGAAAAGATAGGACCAGTGGGTGGGGCTAATACCTGTTAAGATTGATTTGGCAAATCACGTATTCTCTAAGAAAATAAAGGGCGGGTGGGCGGGGCTAATACCTGTTTAAATAAGACCAATTTTGGCAAATGGCATACCCTGTAAGAAAAGAGAGGATGGGCGGGCGTGGCTTGTACCTGCTAAGACTGACTTTGGCAAATCATGTAGTCTCTAAGAAAATAGAGGGCGGGCGGATGGAGCTAAAAAATGATTTCCACTAATTGGCGAAAAAAGTTGAGTGATCAAGTGCCAAAATTAGTTTTATCTTATCAAGTACTAGCCCCGCCCACCCACCCTCTGTTTTCTTGGAGGGCATGTGGTTTGCCAAAATCAGTTTTATCTTATCAAATACTTGCCCCGCCCACCCACCCTCTCTTTTCTTGGAGGGCATGTGATTTGCCAAAATCAGTCTTATCTTAGCAAGTACTAGCTAGCTAAGATAAAACTGTTGTTGGCAAATGACATACCCCCTAAGAAAAAGGAGATGGGCGGGGCTAGTACCTGCTACAATAAGACTGATTTTAGCAAATGGCGTATCTTCTAAGAAATTTAATTAAATTATTATAAGAAAACAAATTTTTTGCAAGCATGAATACCTAGAACCTCAAGATGGTTTTAAATAAAAAAAAACAGGGTCCCAAAATGGAGCCAAAAACAGGTCAGGTCAGAATTTTCTTATAATAGAACACAAAAGTCTCCCAAAATTCTTTTAAATAATTTACAAAAAATCTTCATGGTCTGGGTACCCAAACACTGCGGAACTTAAGACTTTTTCAAAAAATAAAACTCTAAAAGCTCAAAAGATTTTTTCATCCAGCAACAAATCACCAGATTCTTTTAAATTTATCCGAAAATAAAATACCAGGAGATCTAAAATAAACTGTGAATATTTTAAACGTAGGGTTTTGAAAACTTGACAATTTTTGATACGTCAAACATTTTTAAGTGCTTTTGTACCTTGGCTTTATATCAGGCAAACATTGTTGTCAAATGGAATTTTATCAAATTATTTTTACAAAACAACACAACCATATCTTTGTACATTCTAACTGAAATGGTAATTAAAGATGGTCATGGGCGAGAGAAATATCAAATAAAAGTTGTATTACTAGTTATTGTAATAAAGAACAAATTTTAAAATCATTATAACTCCACCAAAATGTGAGTAGGATTTTTTTTACTATTTTTCCCACCCTCACCGGTTGATTGTTAAAAGCGTCAACTAGAATTAATCCGTCATTTTCCAGACACCCGGTAGTACATTTTAAAGGTAATTAAAAATTTTTAAAAATGTGGAACCAATTTGATGAGTAACCAACTTCATTTTTTTAATATTTCGTATCTCGTATCTACTACATTTCTATGTAACCCATCTGTTTCGCCCACTGGCGATTCTCTCAGCATGGGATAATCGCCAAAACTAGCGAACTCATTACTTTAAAATTTGAATATATGTATGTTAAGGTTCATTTGACACGACACGAAAATTTATTACTGTTTCGTACAGTTACATATTTTGGAGAATCAATATTGTCTTTAATATTTATCCCCACCGAAAAATTAATGACGTCATTCTAAAAATTATCAAACAAATTTTGTCGGTTGAAATAACCAACTCGTTCCACCCATTCACAAAATTTATTTGACACATTAAACATGTAAATAAATACTGATTAACATTTGACGTCTGACAAAAAGGCAAAACAAATTTTACTTGTATTGTTCGTCCTACGCCCTCCCACAAAACACAAAACACTTTCCCGTTAGACCACCTTCTAATTCAAGAACCCCCACATCAATTTTCGTTCCTCGTTTTCCCACAAGTCGAAATTCGTCTAAGCTCCACTGACCTTCCACTAAATACAAAACCAAACAAGAAAAAATCTTCGCTCACAATACATCTAACTGTTCATTCATGAATTAACGATTTCCATTTATTACGTGTTTCGATGTTATCTGGCTTTTCATTCACTAAAACAAGAACACGGCCTCGGGTGTCAGTCATTCACACGTCCATCCAGCTAGAAAAAGCCCCCAAAGCCCAATTCTCGTTTTGGTTTTTTCGGAAGCGCGTTAATCCGTCCGAAATCAATAATCGCCGAGTTTAATGAATTGTGAAAGCAATAGTGCATCACATGCATAAAAACAAGACCGCCCCACTGACCCAGAAACTTTAGTCTTGACCATTTGCATACAAGGCCAGGCTGATCTGTTCCTCCTATGTAAATTACGTCACAGATGTGCACAGACGCGGAGAAAGTAGAGATTTTAGACGCTAATTGACGGCTCCACGCCGAAACCGAAAAAAGCTGGGCCATTAAGTAACTCGAAAATACGAGGTCGGATGAATCTGGCCTACAGACCCAGACTGGGCGACAACGAGAGAACGGTACCTGGAGGTCTTTCCCACATAACAATTACGCCGGTGAAGGTAGCTGGGTACTTACGAGCAGCAGGGCCAACCGGGACATGGTGCATAGTTCTTTCGCAGGCACCGTTCAGATGGGTGTTGGGCACGCACGGCACTGGCCGAAATGGGCGCACATGGTCGCGATGGGTTTGTTTTCTTGCGCAGAGCGATGTTGACCGACAGAGAGGCACCGCTGAACTGTTCCAAGCGGACCCTCCTGTTTACGCGAGAAATGAGGTTTCTACTGTCAGATGCTCGGAACCGTAAGAAAAAGTTGCTGGAAGTGGGTTACTGCCAGTGGTGTAGGTGCGAATTGGCGGAGGTGACGGGATGGGAGTGAGGGGGAGGCGGTGACGCATGTGAGGTAAATTAAGGAAGAGTGGCTGTTTGTCAAATAGCGTAAATAGCTGAAGTGAAATCTGGACTTTTCTGGTTTTGGATACTCATAAAATTTTATGGCTGGTGGGTGGCATTGAGGGCAACGCTGCAAGACTATTCCGTATTCTTTGGTAAAGATTAGCGTTGTTGTGTGACAGGTGCAAATTTTGAGATATTTTAAAAATTTTATTTTGAAACCGAATATTTCGAAAAGTGACTGGCGTATCGACTTAGGATTAGTTCAACCGATAGACGTATCATTCCTGGGTAACTACGATTTTTTTCATAATTTTTCGCAGCCCAGTTTTTCCGAAGTTGTGCCAAACCAATCATTACAAAATTGTCGCCCATTAAAATATCGCCATTTAAAAAAAATTCAAAACATTTAAATTTCACACCGAATATTCTGAAAATATTGCTCTGTGACCCGCTATATTTTTGGAATCAGCACGTCAAGATCTATAACCCTGAATTTTTTTCAAAAATGAAATTTTCCACCAAGTACGTAACTTTTGGATTTCTTTTTTACTTAAAAATACATATAGTTTGCTTTAAACAACACGATTACTCAAAAACACGTTTCACATAGCAATTTCTCGAGAAAAACAAGGATTTAGCAATTAAGCTCCGCCCCACGACTTACAACGGATAAAAAAAATCATTACGATTGAGACAGGGCGGGTGGGCGGTTCTTATATTATGCGTTTTTTGCTTAATACACTTAATATCTGTTTTAAATTTTGGTTGTGAAAAGATGGCTACGCATATTAAGAAAAAAAAAGGCAAAATATAAGATCCACCCACCCGCCCTGTCTCAATTGTGATGATTTTTTTTATTCATCGTGAGTCAAGAGGGCGGAGCTTAACTGCAAAATCCTTATTTCTCTACAAGAAATTACCATATAAGATAAGTTTTTGAACATAGTGTTGTTCCAAAAATACTATGTATATTAAAAATTAAAGATAGATTGAGAACGAGACGGATGGGTGGGGCTTATCTTTTGGCTTTTTTTTCCTTAATACATATAGTTTGCTTTAAACAAAACAATTTCACATACCAATTTCTAGTAGGAAAACAAGGATGTAGCAATTAAACTCCGCCCCACGTCTTATGACGGGGAAAAAAATCATCACGATTGAGATTGGGCGGGTGGGCGGGGCTTATATTAAGCCCTTTTTACTTAATATACGTGGTCATCTGTATTAAATTTTGGTTGTGAAAAGATGACTACGTATACTAAGAAAAAAAGGGAACATATAAGCCCCACCCACCCGCCCTGTCTTAATTGTGATATTTTTTTTTATTCGTCGTTAGCCAAAAGGGCGGAGCTTAATTGCAAAATCGTTATTTCTCTACAAGAAATTACTTTGTAAGACATGTTTTTGAGCATAGTGTTGTACAAAAAATACTATATGTATATTAAAAATTAAAGCTAGATTCAGATCGATGATTTCTTTTTTACTTAATACATATAGTTTGCTGTAAACAACACAATTTCTCAAGAACGTGTTTCACATAGCAATTTCTAGTAGGAAAACAAGGATTTTGCAATAAAGCTCCGCCCCACGACTTACGACGGATAAGAAAAAAATCATCATGATTGAGATTGGGCGGGTGGGGGGGCTTATATTATGCGTTTTTTGCTTAATACACGTAGTCATCTGTGTTAAATTTTGGTTGTGAAAAGATGACTGTGTTAATATTCGCAGCCATCTGTTTTAAATTTTTGTTGCGAAAAGACGACTGCGTATATTATGAAAAAAAGGCAAAATATAAACCCCACCCACCCGCCCTGTCTTAATTGTGATATTTTTTTTTTATTCGTCGTTAGCCAAAAGGGCGGAGCTTAATTGCAAAATCGTTATTTCTCTACAAGAAATTACTTTGTAAGACATGTTTTTGAGCATAGTGTTGTACAAAAAATACTATATGTATATTAAAAATTAAAGCTAGATTCAGATCGATGATTTCTTTTTTATTTAATACATATAGGTAGTTTGCTTTAAACAACACAATTTCTCAAGAACATGTTTCACATCGCAATTTCTAGTAGGAAAACAAGGATTTTGCAATTAAGCTCCGCCCCACGAGTTACGACGGATAAGAAAAAAATCATCATGATTGAGATTGGGCGGGTGGGGGGGGGGCTTATATTATGCGTTTTTTGCTTAATACACGTAGTCATCTGTGTTAAATTTTGGTTGTGAAAAGATGATTACGTATACTAAGAAAAAAAGGCAAAATATAAGCCCCACCCACCCGCCCTGTCTCAATTGTGAAGATTTTTTTTATTCATCGTGAGTCAAGAAGGCGGAGCTTAACTGCAAAATCCTTATTTACTACAAGAAATTACCATATAAGACATGTTTTTCAGCATAGTGTTGTTCAAAAAATACGATGTATATTAAAAATTAAAGCTAGATTCAGATCGATGATTTCTTTTTTACTTAATACTTATAGTTTGCTTTAAACAACACAATTTCTCAAGAACGTGTTTCACATGGCAATTTCTAGTAGGAAAACAAGGATTTTGCAATTAAGCTCCGCCCCACGACTTACGACGGATAAGAAAAAAATCATCATGATTGAGATTGGGCGGGTGGGGGGGCTTATATTATGCGTTTTTTGCTTAATACACGTAGTCATCTGTGTTAAATTTTGGTTGTGAAAAGATGACTACGTATACTAAGAAAAAAAGGCAAAATATAAGCCCCACCCACCCGACCTGTCTCAATTGTGAAGATTTTTTTTTATTCATCGTGAGTCAAGAGGGCGGAGCTTAACTGCAAAATCCTTATTTTCCTACAAGAAATTACCATATAAGACATGTTTTTCAGCATAGTGTTGTTCAAAAAATACGATGTATATTAAAAATGAAAGCTAGATTAAGATCGATGATTTCTTTTTTACTTATTACATATACTTTGCTTTAAACAACACAATTCCTCAAGAACATGTTTCACATAGCAATTTCTAGTAGGAAAACAAGGATTTTGCAATTAAGCTCCGCCCCACGACTTACGATGGATAAGAAAAATATCATCACGATTGAGACAGGGCGGGTGGGCGGGGCTTATGTTATGTTGTTGAAACTAGGTATATATTAAGAAAAAGAAGACAATAATTAAGCCCTTCCTGCCGCCCCCTCAGTCGTGATGAATTTTTTATTCTTTGTCAGATAGAGGGGCGGAGTTTAATTGCAAAATCCATATTTCTCTACAAAAGTGTACCACTTTAAACATGTTATAAGTTATAAGTTTCTTCTTCTCTTCAATTCTTAAGAAGTTACCTAAATTGAAGTGCATTTGATATTTCTTTTCTCAATCTTATTTCACTGAAAATAACGTTTAAAAAGTACTCCTAAAGATCTAAAATAGTTAAAAAAAATAATTTCTTGCAAAAATGTCAAAGTCTTTTTGTATTCACGTAAATTAGATTTGTTAATAGACGAAATGAGGAATTAGGTGTTTTGAGGATCTGAGGAATTAGGTGTTTTGAGGATCTGAGAAGTTTAATGTTTTGAGAACTTTGAAAACAAAATATCCGGGGCTTTTCTCAAAGAGAAAAAAGTCTTCAGATTATTTCGAACTCTTTCAAAAATAATACACCAGAGACCTCTAAGGTTTTTCTAAGCCCTCCAAAAATAAAACACCAAAACCCCTAAGAGCTTGGAAAAATGTCAAAAGATCTTGGGGTCCAGGTGTTTTATTTGTGAAGGAGTTTGAAATAAGCAAAAAGTCCTGTGTTAATTAACAAATTCACATGTTTTGTTTGAGAAAGAATTAAAAAAATCTCGCGAGCCCCGGAATTTTCGTTTTTAAAAAAATCCTGCGGACGCTAGTGTATTTAACTTTTTAATTTTGAAACCATTTTGAGGGCCCCTGATTTGTTTTTGAAATAATTTGAAAATGATGTTGGAGGTCCTGGTGTTTTATTTTTGGAGGAGTTAGAAAAAATCTTAGAGGTCTCTGGTGAATTATTTTTGAAAGATTTCGATTTGGGTTTTTATTATTTAAAAAAATCTTGGGACTCCCGGATGTTGTTTTTTTTTGGCAAAAATTTGAAACATTTCCGAGTTCCTGGTGTCTGGTTTTTGGGAAAATTTGAAAAGATCTCGGGGTTCAGGTGTTTGAAATAAGCCAAGGGCCTTTTTTAATAAAAAAATCAAGATATTTTGTTTGAAAAAGAATTAAAAAAAATCTCGCGAGCCCCGGATATTTCGTTTTTAAAAAAAATTCTGGGGACCCTAGTATATTTAACTTTTTAATTTTGAAACCATTTTGATGGCCCTTGATTGGTTTTTGAAATAATTTGAAAATGATTGGAGGTCTTGGTGTTTTATTTTTGGAGGAGTTAGAAAAAATCTTAGAGGTCTCTGGTGAATTATTTTTGAAAGATTTCGATTTGGGTTTTTTTTATTAAAAAAAATCTTGGGACTCCCGGATGTTGTTTTTTTTTGGCAAGAATTTGAAAACATTCCCGAGTTCCTGGTGTTTGGTTTTTGGAAAAATTTGAAAAGATCTCGGGGTTCAGGTGTTTTATTTTTGAAGGAGTTTGAAATAAGCCAATGGCCTTTTTTAATAAAAAAAATCAGATATTTTGTTTGAGAAAAAATTAAAAAAAATCTCGCGAGCCCCGCATATTTCGTTTTTAAAAAAAATCTGGGGACCCTAGTGTATTTAACTTTTTAATTTTGAAACCATTTTGATGGCCCTTGAATGGTTTTTGAAATAATTTGAAAATGATTGGAGGTCTTCGTGTTTTATTTTTGGAGGAGTTATAAAAAATCTTAGAGGTCTCTGGTGAATTATTTTTGAAAGATTTCGATTTGGGTTTTTTTTATTAAAAAAAACCTTGGGACTCCCGGATGTTGTTTTTTTTGGCAAGAATTTGAAAACATTCCCGAGTTTTTGGTGTTTGGTTTTTGGAAAAATATGAAAGAAGTTTGAAATAAACCAAGGCCCCTTTTTTAATTAAGAAAAAATCAGATGTTTTGTTTGAGAAAGAATTAAGAAAAATCTTGCAATGTCCGGATGTTTCGTTTTTGAAAAATCCTGCGGACCCAAGTGTATTGAACTCTTTATTTTGAAAAAAATTTGATGGCCTGATTTTTTTTTCTGGATAAGTTAGAAAAAATCTTTTCTGCTATTCTTGCGTTAACACGATTTCATTTCACAATTTTCCGTATGCCAGTTTTCCCGAAGTTGTTGTAAACAAATCACTACAAAATCACCCAATAAAACCACCACCCTCTTTCAGCGACTTATATTTTTTCATCAATAAAATAAAATAAATATACAAAAAACAAATCACACTTAACGTAACCAAAATCTTTTTTCCAATCACTAAAAAAACTAACCAACATCACTTAAAATCAAACAATGTTTTCAGATCTTGCAAACTGAGCTTATTATCACTGACCCTCTTCGACCCCGTCAACATCGACTCGGCAATTTCCATCTTCTTCTCTTGCAAATTCTTAATTCGCTCCTCGATCGTGTCCTCAGCCATGAATCTAAAAAACTCCAATAAAACCCAGCACGACCCGAGAAACCCGACACCTACTTGTACACAAAAATCTGCTTTTTTTGCCCCATCCTGTATATTCTGTCCTGCGCTTGGCTTTCCAGTTGCGGGTTCCAGTGCAAATCCAACAGGAATAGGTGGTTGCCGCCCACTAGATTCAAACCCACGCCGCCGGCGGTCAGAGAAAGAAGTAAAACTCTGGTGTCACTGTTCGGGTCGTTGAAGTTATCCACGATCGGCATTCTCTTGTTCGAGGGGATTTTGCCGTTGAGGGAGTCAAAACCGATCCTAGCTTGTCTGATGTGGAGGGCTATCAAGTCTAACATACTCGTCCATTGGGAAACGACTACGACTTTATCGCCAGAGCTGACTTTTTCTTTTAGTACTTTTATTAACGTCTTGATCTAAATAATAATAATAATAATAACAATAAGTTTTTAATTTAGTGTCACACTCAAAATAAACTAATACCTTACTGCTTGCCCGTTCCGGATTAAACACCGGATTGGACGGATTCAAATACCCCCTAGACGCCTCCTTCAACCCCACTCCCCCCTCACTCAACCCCTCAGCCGGGTGTTCATTATTGTCATTAATATTCAATTTATTCAACTGGTCCAACAAATTCATTTCTTCAGTGTCTTCATACTGATCAGCCTCCCCCAAATCCTCGTCGCCCTGTAACATCTACACCACCATCAACCCCCTCCCCACCCCCCTCCACTCTCTCTTACCTGTACTATCAGACAAGGATGGCAACAAATCTGCCTCAGCCTCAACAAAAGCACTAGAATTTCGTGCTGGCTGACTTCCTTCACCCTGTTCATCTTCAATAACTTGTTCCTCATCTTGAAATACTCCCCGTTTGGGTCATCTGCAAACAGAATTTGGAGAATCGCAAGGTTAATAAACGGAGGTCCTACGTGGTGTTCCCTCGTATCGTATGTTGATGCCGTCTTGATTTTTTTCGGCGCGTTGGTGGAGGAATTGTGCGAAGAGGGCTTTCGAGAAGAGTAGGATTTTCTGGTAGACGTCCATTTCGTCTTGGTCTAGTTTGACGGGTACTAGTTGCCAGTTTCTTTCGGGTAAGTTTTCTAAGATGCCTTTTTCCATTAGTTCTGATTTGGTTCGTCTTAGCATTAGGGAGGAGATGACGGCGTGGAGGCGCATGCTACCGCCCGTGCTCTTGTCCGACATCCAGCGTTTCCACACCTGGTTTTTGGATTTTTTTTTTAATGATATATAAATTATGAAAAAATAGGATTCTTGTTTTCGACTGTCTCTCGCGTGTTGTCTGTTGGCGAATTTATGAAATAGATAATTTCCAAAACTACTGGACTGATTATTGTACAGTTTTAGGCGTACTTTAAGAATATTGTGTGGACGGTGGGATACCAAACAAAATTTCTCCAACCATCTTTTTAACGTTAAACATGTAGATTTTTGAAAAATATAAAAAAAAAGAATTTTAAGGGAACATTATTTAACGATTTAGCTTAGAAACTACAGAACCCACTACTCTGACGTCATCTCAAAATTTTTCGTAGCAAATATTATTTAAAATGTGCAAAATAATATGGTTCTACACTTGGAATTTATTGTTCTTTAAGCTGAATATGTTTCTGGTTTCCGAAAAAAAAACCTTAACAAACTTTAAAAATCGAAAAATATTTTTTTTTAAAAATTGAAAAACCGAAAAAGTAGAAAAACAGAGTAATCGAAACGTTAAAAATTGAAAAATCAAAATATGAACAAATTGAAAAATCCAGAAGTTGAAATGTTGGAAAATGTACAATTTAAAAAATTGAAAAAGCAAAAATTTAAAAAATTAAAATATAGAAAAATTGAAAAGCCCGAAAGTCGAAAAATCGAAAAGCTGAAAAATTCCAAAACCGAAATGAACTGCGAGATCGAAAAATGGGAAATCAAAACTTGAAAAATTGAGAGAGCAAAAAAAATCGAAAAGTCGAAAAATGTATAGTTTAAAATTTCGAAAAACTGAAAAATTGAAAAAGGAAAAATCTAAAATTTAAAAAATTAATTTAAAAAGACGAAAAATGTAGAATTCAAAAAATCGAAAACAAAATAATTGACTGAAAAGAAATTAAAATATAGAAAGATTAAAAAATCAAAAAATTTTGAAAAAACGGAAAGCCCGAAACTCGAAAATACGAAAAACTGAAAAATGGAGAAGTTGAAAAATTCTAAAACCGAAATGAATTGGGAGATCGAAAAATTTAAAATTTTGAAAATTGAAAAATCCAGAAATTGAAATGTTGAAAAATGGGAAATCGAAAAATCGAGAGACCAAAAAATTGAAATGGAAAAATCTAAAAAATTCATTTAAAAAGACGAAAAATGTTGAATTCAAAAAATCGAAAACAAAAAAACTAACTGAAAAAAATTTAAAATATCGAAAAATAAAAAAATCAAAAAATTGTGAAAAAACGAAAAGTCCGAAACTCGGAAATACGAAAAATGGAAGAATCGAAAAACTGGAAAATCGAGAAGTTAAAAAATTCCAAAACCGAAATGAATTGGGAGATCGAAAAATCGAAAAATGTAGTTTAAAATTTCGAAAAACTGAAAAATTGAAATGGAAAAATCTAAAATTTAAAATATTAATTTAAAAAGACGAAAAATGTAGAATTCAAAAAATCGAAAACAAAAAAACTGACTGAAAAAAATTAAAATATCGAAAGATTAAACAATCAAAAAATTTTGAAAAAACGAAAAGTCCGAAACTCGGAAATACGAAAAATTGTCTTTTCGGAAAATTGAAGAGTCGAAAAACTGAAAAATTGAGAAGTCGAAAAATTCCAAAACCGAAATAACGAACAATTGGGAGATGAAAAATTAAAAATTTTGAAAATTGAAAAATCGAAAAATTGAAAATCCCAAAACCGAAAAATTCGAAAATTGAAAAAACTATGGAAAATTGAAGAATCGAAAAATTGAAAAATCCATAAATTGAAATGTTGCAAAATGGGAAATCGAAAAATGGAGAAACCTAAAAATCGAGGTCGAAAAATGTAGTTTAAAATTTCGAGAAACTGAAAAATTGAAATAGAAAAATTTAAAATTTAAAAAATTAATTTAAAAAGACGAAAAATTTACAATTCAAAAAATCGAAAACATTGAAAAAACAAACTGAAAAAAAAATCGAAAAATTAAAAAATCGAGAGGTTTAAAAATTACAAAATTGAAACGACAAAAAATTGGGAAATCGAAAAATTGGAAATCGAAACATCAAAAAAATTGGAAAAATCAAAAATAAAAAAAATTCGAAAATTGAAATGTTGGAAATTGGGGAATCGAGAAACCTAAAAATCCAAAAGTCGAAACATGTACAATTGAAAAAAAACTGAAAAATCAAAAATTTTAAAAATTAAAATATCGAAAAACTGAAGAATCGCAAAATCGAAAAATTGAGAAACCTAAAAATAAAAAATTCGAAAAATGTACACACAATTTTGGAAATCGAAAAAATTTAAAAAACAAACTGAAAAATCAAAAATTTAAAATATCGAAAAATTGAAAATTCAAATATCAAAAAATAAATCGAAAAGCCTCGAAAGTTGAGAATCGGAAAATCGAAGAGGTGAAAAACCGAAAAATCGAGAAGTTGAAGAATTCCAAAATCGAAATAACAAAAAATTGGAAAATTGAAAAATTGACAATCCCAATCCCAAAACTGAAAAATGCGGAAACTGAAATGTTGAAAATGGGAAATGGAAAAATCAAGAAACGGAGAAACCTAAAAATCGAAAAATGTACAATTCAAAAAACAAACTGAAAAATCAAAAATTTAAAAAATTAAAATATCGAAATACTGAAGAATGGAAAAATTGAAAAATCGAAACAACAAAAAATTGAAAAATTAAAATATTGACAAATTGAAACGGAAAAAATGGGAAATCAAGAACTTGAAAAATCGAGAAACTTAAAAATCTAAAAGTCGAAAAATGTACAATTGAAAAAGTCGAAAAAATTGAAATAACAAACTGAAAAATCAAAAAATTTAAAAATCGGAACATCGAATAATTGAAAATCCCAAAACTGAATTGAAAAATCAATGGAAAATTGAAGAATCGAAAAATTGAAAAATGCAGAAATTGAAACATTGAAAAATGAGAAATCAAAAACGACAAACTTAAAAATAGAAAAGTCGAAAAATGTACAATTCAAAAAATCGAAAATATTTAAAAAACGAACTGAAAAATCAAAAATTTTAAAATTCGGGAAATTGAAATTTCGAATAACTGAAGAATCGAAAAATCTAGACATTGAAAAGTTGAAAAAGGTACAATTCAAAAAATCACAAAAATTGAAAAAATTAAAATTTTAAAAATGAAAATATCGAAAAATTGAAAAATATGAACGTTAAAACTCAAAAAATTGAAAAATCGAAAGCCCGAAAGTCGAAAAAAATTAAAAAGAAACTGAAAAATCAAAAATTTATAAAATTAAAACATCGAAAAATCTAAAATTTAAATATAAAAAAATTGAAAAATCGAACAGCCCGAAAGTTCGCAAATCGAAAAGTTGAAAAATTTCAAAATTGAAATTACAAAAATTGAAAATCGAAACATCGAAAAAATTGGAAAATCGAAAAATAAAAAATTAATTCAAAAATCTATGGAAAATTGAACAATCGAAAAAACAAACTGAAAAATCAAAAATTAATAAAATCAAAGCATCAAAAAATTGAGAAATCGGGAAGTCGAAAACTTCCAAAATTGAAATAACAAAAAACATTGGGAAATCGAAAAGTTGAAAATCCCAAAACTGAAATATTTGAAAAATTGAAAAATCCAGAAACCTAAAAATCAAAAAGTCGTAAGATTGGAAAATCGAATAATTGAAATGACAAAAAATTGGGAAATAGAATGATTGAAAATCGAAACATCGAAAAATTAAAAAAAAAAAAATGAAAATTGGAAAATCGAAAATACCAATACTGAAATATTGGAAAACTTAAAAATCTAATGAAAATTGAAGAATTGAAAAATCCAGAAACCGAAAAACCGAAAAATTCAAGTCAAAAAATTGAAAAATCCAGAAACCTAAAAATCAAAAAGTCGTAAGATTGGAAAATCGAATAATTGAAATGACAAAAAATTGGGAAATAGAATGATTGAAAATCGAAAATACCAATACTGAAATATTGGAAAACTTAAAAATCTAATGAAAATTGAAGAATTGAAAAATTGAGAAACCGAAAAACCTAAAAATTCAAGTCAAAAAATTGAAAAATCAAAAACTTGCAAAATCAAAAATTTGAAGAATTGAAAAATGAAAGAATCAAAAATTTGAAAAATCGAAAAACCAAAAAAATCGAAAGTCGAAAAGTTTACAATTTAAAAAATCGAAAAAAATTGAGTCGAAAAGTTTACAATTTAAAAAATCGAAAAAAAATTGAAAAAACAAACTGAAAAATCAAAAATTTATAAAATGAAAACATCGAAAAATCTAAAATTTAAATATCAAAAAATTGAAAAATCTAAGAGCCCGAAAGTCCGAAAATCGAAAAATTGGAAAGTCGAAAAGTTGAAGTCGAAAAACTGAAAAATCGAGGAGTTGAAAAATTCCAAAATTGAAATTATAAAAAATTGAAAATCGAAACATCGAAAAATTGGAAAATCGAAAAATAAAAAATTTAGAAAATTGAAAAATCTATGGAACATTGAAGAATCGAAAAATTGAAAAAACCAGAAATTGAAATCTTGAAAAATGGGAAATCGAAAAATCGAGAAACCTAAAATCGAAAAAATCGACAAAATGAAAAATCCAAAAATTGAAATTTTGAAAAATGGGAAATCAAAACTTGAAAAATCGAGACACCTAAAAATCGAAAAAATTTACAATTTAAAAAGTCGAACAAAATTGAAAAGACAAACTGAAAAATTAAAAATTAATAAAATTAAAACATCTAAAAATCTAAAATTTAAATATGAAAAAATTGAAAAATCGAAGAGCCCGAAAGTCCGAAAATCGAAAAACTAAAAAATCGAGAAGTCGAAAAATTCCAAAATTGAAATGACAAAACATTGGGAAATCGAAAAATTGAAAATACCAAAACTGAAATATTTGAAAAATTGAAAAATCTAGACACCTAAAAATCAAAGGGTCAAAAAATTGGAAAATCGGAAAATTGAAATGAAGAAAAAGTGGGAAATAGGAAAATTGAAAATCGAAACATCGAAAAATTAAAAAAAAAATGAAAATTGAAGAAAAATTGAGAAACCGAAAAGCCGAAAAATCGAAGTCAAAAAAAGTGAAAAATCAAGCACCTGAAAAATAAAAAATTTGAAGAATTGAAAAATGAAAGAATCAAAAAATTAATAAATCTGAACACTGAAATATTCAAAAATTGAAATTCGAGAAATTGAAAATCGGGAAATTAAAAAATCGAAAAATTGAGAAATGTAAAAAATAGAAAACTCCACGGATCGAAATTTTGAAAATCCCAAATCTGAAATATCGAAAAATTGAAAAATCGAAAGAACATTTAACAATCGAAAAATTGAAAAATCCCTGAACTGAAATATTGAAAAACTAAGAAATTGAAGTCCAAAAATTGAAAAATCAAAAACCTGAAACATCGAAAAATTGGGAAATCAAAAGTTAAAGAATTGGAGAAAATCCCAAAACTGAAGTATCGACAAATTGAAAAATCGAAAAAAAATTGAAGACCTGAAAAATTGTGAAATCCTTAAATTGAAACACCGAAAAATGAATAAATCGAAAAGTCGAAAAATCGAAGTCGAATAACTGAAAAATCAAAAATCTGAAAAATCGAAAAACCCCAACACTAAAATATGGAAAAATTGAAAATCGAATTATTGAAATTAAAGAAATCGAAAGTGAGAAATGGAAAAATCGTTATACAACAGACTACAATTACATTTTTTTTTTCAAGAAATCTCGATGTCTAGGAAAAAAAATCTGGATGCTTTTAAACTAATAAAAACTCGACACCGATTCATAAACCACAAATGTAGGAGTACGTTATTTTATAAAATTTAAATAACACTTACTATTGTAACATTTGGAGACGAAGTCAGTCCAGTGTTGGTGGGGATGAGCAGACAAATTTTGATTAGCGTTTTGTCATCTACATGATATTCCTAACACACATACAAAATTTGACAACAATCGGTCCGGTAGTTTCGGAGATTATCTGTCTTACTATAAGTCAGACATAAATGGGAGTGTCATATTTTCGGGGCATGAAACGTCAAGAAAGCATAAAAATAGCCAGTCGCTCGATAGACTCGATTACAATACTTCCTTGGTATGTTATTTTTATAAATTACTTCTTGAGCAGGCAGAAATCGTATTATTTGACAGTTATTTACCGCAATTGTCAAACCGGACAAGGATGTTGGTATTACCAACATTATTATTTTAAAAATAAATTTCATAACCTACTAGAAGGCTTTTCTATGGAACAGTACTGCCATCAGTTTAAAAAAATAACCCGTAAAAGCCAAATTCAATGACAACTTGCACTCACCGTCAGATCATCAAACGGCGCGCACCTCAAAAACTTCAAAATGGCGTACATATCCAGCTCCTTGTTATGCACCGGCGTCCCCGTCAGCGCCCACCTCGACCTCGCCGAAAGCTGAAAAACGGCCTCGGCCGTCTGCGACTTGTAGTTCCGGATCTGGTGCGCCTCGTCCAAGATAACCCTCCGCCACCTCACCCCGAACGCCACCCGACTCTTGTCGTTGAGGATGAGCCCGTACGTCGTCACCACCACGTCGTGCTTGGCCAAACTAGAGCACCTTCCATACATTTGACCAAATTTATATATCAAACTTACCGCTTGGACTTGGTCTCCCTCTTCGGCCCGTGAAACAGCTCCACGTCCAGCAGCCCCCTCTTGGTCCTCCGCTCGATTTCCAGCGACCACTGCCCCATCAAGCTGGCCGGACAGATGACCAAGGTGCCTCCGGGGTACTTCTCTCTGTAGGTTTCTTTCTCGCGGTCTTCATCGGGGTTGACTTCGCGCGATTTGAGCACTAGGGAGATCATGGTCAGGGTTTTGCCCAGACCCATGTCGTCGGCCAAGAGCCCCCCGGAGGGTTTTTGCTTCTCGCGCCATAGCAACCACGCGAGGGCGCTTTTCTGGTGATCGAGCAAAGGGACCTTGAGGCCCTTGGGGTCGTCGACGAAGTCGTTGGCGGTGGGGCAAGTGTCCAGGGATTTGTGGAGGGAGTCGAGGGTTTCCACGGCCAGCTGCTTTTCGGCGTTGAAGCGCTGCACAACTAGAATATCGCTCTAGTTAGAGATGAAAATTATTTGTTAGGTTAGGTTTTAGGGATTTTTGTGATATCACCAAATGTCTAAATTAACCTCAAAATTAGCGATGAGTGATTAACTGAGTTAGTAGCAATGTTAAAATTACCTGTAGTTTCAGTTTTTACAACTGCACAATTGCTTTTTGAATAAAACAACGACATTATATATCGCAAAATCCAAAAACACATCGCAATAAATTGTCACACTGTGATTACACAGGTGGTTCCCAGATAAGAAATTTCCTGGCATTCCCAGCCCTGATATCACCAGTGGCGTAGAAACCCGTTTCCGGTTTTCTTTATCAAAAATAAATGACTAAATACCTTTCTTTCCCATTGTTCTTGGCCCAACTGCATCCACACCAGCCTCAATTTCATCCCAGGCTACCTCAATCTTTTGTTTTACCCCTAGAGGCTCTTTCTCTTCTACTATCATATTTTTAAATATATTTCTCTCTTGTTGCAACATTACGTCCAACGCCCTCTCCTTCGCCACGAGAGATTTGCCCTTATCAGGCAGATTTTCCATTTTTATAATTCTCATGGCATTCTAAACATAAATATTTATTAAAAAAAAAAAAAAAAAATGGTCGAAAGTTATTTTGACAGAACTTCCCTCGCCCTTGAGTACCAGTCCACTTTTTCGAAAATCATTTGATTTTGCGAAAATTTTTCCAATACAAAATTTTGTGATAACGTCATTTTTCATTAATAAATAAACAAAAAAAAAAGAGATACCCTCTAAGAAAAGAGAGGGTGGGTGGGCGGGGCTAGTATCTGCTAATATAAGACCGATTTTGGCAAGTGAGTGATCTCGATTCGATGAATCGAGAACTCAAGAAATCAAAAAAACGAAAAGTAAAATAAATTGAAAACCACAAAGAATGAGAACTCGGAAAACCAAAAAATCGAAAAGCAAAAAAGTTGAAAAATCGGCAAGTCGAAAAGGAAACAAATTGAAAATTCGAATATTGAAAAATCGGAAAACCGAAAAGTAGAAAATCTAAAAATCAGGAATCGAAAAACCAAAAATTCTAAAATCGAAAAGTCAAAAAACGGAAAAAATGAAAATAAATAGAGAAATTGACATTGAAAAAATTGAAAGGCAGATGATCGAAAATTCGAAATTTCGAATGTTGAAAATGAGACAAAATCGAAATATCGAAAAATCAAAAATTCGGGTTAGTGTCTGTTAAAATAAGATCGATTTTGGCAAGAGAAAAGTAAAAAAAAATTAAAAATCGAAAAACTGGAGTATGGAAAAGTTGAAAATTCAAGAATTCGAGAATTAAAAAAACTGAAAAGTCTAAAAATTTAAGAATGTCATTGTAATATCGAAAAATCAAAAGTCGAAATGTACAAAGATCGGAAATTCGAGTAACGAAAATCGAAAACTCGAGAAATCGAAAAGTAAAAAAGTTGAAAAAGCAAAAAATTGAAGCATCGAAAAACTGAAAATTGAAAAGTCTTAAGAACTGAAGAATAGAAAATAGAAAAATCGGGACATCAAAAGGAAACACATTGAAAATTAGAAATTTGAAAATCGAGATTTCGAATAATTGAAAATTCTAAAAGCGAAAAGTCGAATGATGGAAAAATCGAGAAGCTGAAGTTTAAAAAATTCAAAACTCGTGGAATCAAACAATGGAAAAGTAAAAAAGTTGAAAAATCGAAAAACTGAAGAATGAAAGAATTGAAATCGACAAATCGGGGAGGACACATTTGAAAATTCGAATATCGAAAAATCGGAAAACCGAAAACTGGAAAATCTAAAAATCGGAAATCGAAAAGCAGAAAATCTAAAATCGGGAATCAAAAAACCGAAAAACCAAACATTCTAAAATCGAAAAGACGAAAAACGGGAAAAAATAGAGAAATTGACATTGAAAAAATTGAAAACCAGAAGATCGAAAATTCGAGAGTTGAAAATGAAAAAAAAATGAAAATTTGAAAAATCGAAAAACTGAAGCATGAAAGAATCGAAATATTGAAGAACTGAAAAATGAAAAATCGAGAAGTCGAAAAGGAAACAAATTGAAAATTCGATGAATAAAATATTCAAAAAGAGAAAATCGGAAAACCAAAAATTCTAAAATCTAAAAACCGAAATCTAAAAATTTGAAAAATCGAAACATGAAAATTCGAATAACGAAAATCGAAAACGCGGGAAATCAAAAAATCGAAAAGTAAAAAATTTGAAAAAACGAAAAATTGAAGAATGAAAGATTTGAAAAATCGGCAAATCGGGGAGGAAACATTTGAAAATTCGAATATCGGAAAATCGGAAAACCGAAAACTGGAAAATCTAAAAATCGGAAATCTAAAAACAGAAAATCTAAAATCGGGAATCGAAAAACCGAAAAACCAAAAATTCTAAAATCGAAAAGACGAAAAACGGGAAAAATAGAGAAATTGACACTGAATAAATTGAAAACCAGAAGATCAAAAATTCGAGAGTTGAAAATGAGAAAAAATTGGAATGTCAAAAATCGAAAAGTAAAAAAGTTGAAAAATCGAAAAACTCAAGAATGAAAAATTGAAATTTCGAAGAACTGAAAAATGAAAAATCGGGAAAACGAAAAGGAAACAAATTGAAAATTCTATGAATAAAATATTCAAAAACTGAACATCGGAAAACCGAAAATTAGAAATTTGAAAATCGAGAAATTGAAATTTAAAAAATCGAAAACTCGGGAAATCAAAAAATCGAAAAGTAACAAAATTGAAAAATCGAAAAACTGAAGAATGAAAAATTGAAAAATCGACAAATCGGAGATGTAAAAAATGAAAGTAAAAAAGCTGAAAACTCGAAAAACTGAAGAATGAAAGAATTGAAATATCGAAGAACTGAAAAATCGGGAAATCGAAAAGGACACAAATTGAAAATTCGATGAATAAAATATTCAAAAAGCTAAAATCGGAAACCGAAAATTCTAAAATCTAAAAACCGAAAATCAAAAATTTGAAAATCGAGATTTCGAATAATCGAAAATTCTAAAATCGAGAAGTCGAATGATGGAAATTTAAAAAATTCAAAACTCGGGGAATCAAAAAACCGAAAAGTAAAAAAGTTGAAAAATCGAGAAACCTGAAAATCGAAAAGTCGACAAAGGTACAATTTAAAAAAACACAACAATTGAAAAAATAAAAATTTTATATCGAAAAATTGAAAAATATGAACGATGAAAAAAAAATTGAAACGACAAACAATTGGGAAATCGAAAAATTTAAAAAACAAACTCAAAAATCAAAAATTTTAAAATTCGAAAAATTAAAATATCGAAAGACTGAAAAATCGAAAATTTGAAAAATAGGGAAATCAAAACATTAAAAAATCGAAAAATCAAAATATCGACAAATTGAAAAACCCAAAAAGTGAAATTTTGAAAAATGGGGAAATCAAAAACTTTGAAAATCGAGAAACCTAAAAATCGAAAAGTCGAAAAATTTACAATTTAAAATGTCAAAAAATTGAAAAAACAAACTGAAAAATAAAAAATTTATAAAATCAAATCATCGAAAAATCTAAAATTTAAATATCAAAAAATTGAAAAATCGAAAAGCTCGAAAGTCCAAAAATAGAAAAATTGGAAAATCGGAAAGTTGAAGTCGAAAACCGGAACAATCGAGAAGTTGAAAAATTCCAAAATTGAAACTAAAAAAATTGAAAATCGAAATTAAAAAAAATTGAAAGTCGAAACATCGAAAAAATTGTAAAATCGAAAAATCTATGGAAAACTGAAGAATCGAAAAATTGAAAAATCCAGAAATTGAAATGTTGAAAAATGTGAAATCGAAAAATCGAGAAAGCTAAAAATCGAAAAGTCGAAAAAATGTACAATTGAAAAAACGAACTGAAAACATAAAATTAAAGCATCAAAAATTGAAAAATCGAAAAGCCTGAAAGTCGGAAAATCTAAAAATTGGAAAATCGAAAAGTTGAAGTCGAAAAACTGAAAAATCAAGAAGTTGAAAAACTACAAAATTGAAATAACGAATAATTGAAAATAGAAAACATCCAGAAATCTAAAATTCGAAAATAACGAAATTAAAAAAAAATTGAAAATCGAAAATACCAAAACTGAAATATTAGAAACGTTAAAAATCTAATGACAATTGAAGAATCGAAGAAAAATTTGCAGAATTGAAAAACTGAGAAACCGAAAAGCTGAAAAATCGAAGTCAAAAAATAGAAAAATCCGAACACTGAAATATTCAAAAATTTAAATTCGAGAAATTGAGAAATCGAAAGTGGAAAAATAAAAAAAAATCAAAAGCTTGAATAATTAAAAAAAAAAATAAAAAATAGAAAAAATCCAAGAATCGAAATTTTGAAATTCCCAAACTAAACTATTGACAAATTGATAAATCGAAAGAAATTTAACAATCGAAAAATTGAAAAATCAAAAACCTGAAAAATCGAAAGTTGAAAGATCGGATAAAATCCCAAAACTGAAATATCGACAAATTGAAAAATCGAAGAAAAATTGGAGAACTGAATCTAGAAATCGAAATGTTGTAAAATGGGAAATCAAATCTTGAAAACTCGAAAAACTGAAGAATAAAAGAACTGAAAACCGAAAAATGGAAAATCTAAAATCGAAAAGTCGAAAAACGGAAAAAATGACAAATACCGAAAAATCAAAAAATCGGGTTAGTGTTTGCTAAAATAAGATCGATTTTGGCAAATGTTATACCCTCTAAGAGGGGGCGGGTGGGCGGGGCTAGTAGCTTGCAAGATAAGACTGATTTTGGCAAATGAGATTCCCTCTAAGAAAAGAGAGGGTGGGTGGGCGGGGTTAGTACCTGATAAGATAAGACTGATTTTAAAATCATTATAACTCCACCAAAATGTGGGAAGGAAATAAAAACTCAATACAGAACCATAAACTACATGTGTAGGACTATGTTATTTCTTACAATTTAAAACCCATTTACTATACACAATTTTAAAATGACGTCATCACATTATTGGTGGGGATGACTAGACAAATTTTAGTTAGCGTTTTAGGACGGCAGACGGACAGACAGACAGACGGAAACGAGACATTTCTTCTATACTAGATTACAATAAGAAAACGACAAAATAAACCTACTTTAGCTCGAAACAAGTCCATCTCAACTGCAGCCACCTTTTTCCTTTGTTCTTGATATTCTTCCCTGGTTACAATTTGTAGAGGCGGTGGCTGGGGAACTTGAAAGCTTGACATAAATGACTTAATGTTGGTTTGTTTAAGCCGAACAGGGGGCGCCTCTTCATCACTACTAACTTCCACAATACTGTAAGACTTTTCCACTAGGTCTACGGAACTTTCACTGTCCACTGTGGAACCATAATCGTGTTCATTATCACTAGTTGCCACAGCATTTATTATATTTTTAGGCGAATTTGATGTTTCCTCAGGGAAACTCAAATCATCAATATTAGACTTTTCCGAAACTATTTCTTCATTTTTATTTGTGTTAGGAGTTGCGTTTGTCTTATAAGCGTCATCACTGCTAGTTACAACGTCTGAACGATTTTGTGGCGAGTTAATTTTAGTTTTTATTTGCGTAGTTGTTTCGATTTCTTCATCAGTGCTCTCAACGATATCACCCGCTCTTGCTTCATCATCACTACTTTCGTCGTCTGTTATTTTCGTCTGAGAGAACTGTTTTGAACTATAATCGGGGTCTTCATCGTCCGTCGCGTATTCCTCCTGTGGGGGCGATTCTTTTGTCGCAATTTCTTCTTCATGAAGAGAATCCTCAAGATCCGATTCTTCATTAAAAGTGTTAAATGAGGGAAGCGACTCTTTGGAGTCATCACGACTGGAAGAAAGTGCTTCATCTTCGTCTTCGCTCGAGTCTATTATGGCATTTTTTTTCGTTCTCATGACTGAAAAAAAATTATAGAAAAAATTACAACGAAACGACGAACTTACCACGAAAGGAATCCTCAGATTCGCTATTCACACCTGATTTGTTCATAATTGCAAAAAATTGTCAAATAAGTAGGTAACACCGGCGAGGAGCAGTATTGTTACAGAAAATAAAAAAAATAACTGAACTGAGTTAAACTATAAAACTATAAAAAAAGTGTCTTGATTTTACTTCTAGAGTGATAAAAACCACAAAAACAACACAATTTTTACACAAAAAACGAAACTGTTTGAAACCGTTACAAACCGAAAACGCCACTTTTCCAACTGTCAAAATTGCTGCCAACCTGAAAAACACAAAAGTCACTGCGCAATTAGTGACTATTGCTCTAGATCACGGTGGTATAAATCGACTGTTCCCTTATTACTTATTACAAAATCAAAATGAATAAAATCAGCATAGAAAAACGCGGTCATTAAAGCCCTTTTGTTCAACGCTGTGACATATTAAAGCAAAAATCCCTGTCGTCCATTGGCAGCCCTGCCCCACTTCCACACATAACCTCACTCGTTCAAACTCCAAATTACCAGTATCAATGTAAAATGAACAAAGACCCCGTAGTCCTCAGCTACGATGAAAGCTTGCTAAGAAAATCCGACGTGGAGCTCCTCCACGGCCCCTACTGGCTCAACGACAACATCATCTCCTTCTACTTCGAGTACCTCAAGAACACGTTCAAGAACGCCCCCCAGATGCTCTTCGTCTCCCCGGAAGTCACCCAGTGCATTAAAATCATCCCGGGTAGCCAGATGAAGGTGTTCCTGGACCCCCTGGACGCTGCCAACAAGCACTTCATTTTTTTCGCGCTGAACGACAATGAGAAGCCGCAGTCAGTCGGGGGCACCCACTGGAGCTTATTGCTGTATTCACGGTAAGACGAGGCGCGGTGGTGACACGTTTTAAGTCTGTTTTGTAGTGCTGATCAGACTGTGTACCATTATGACTCGTCGAGGGGGTCTAACAGCGAGCAAGCTGAGAGCTTTGCTAGGAAGTTATTTGCCTATTTTGATGTTCGGGGGCAGTTTAAGGAGGAGGTGTCGCTGCAGCAGGACAATGGGTACGACTGCGGGATTTACCTGATTTGCAACGCCGAGTGTTTGGCGAAGCACCTGGCGAGGTATAATTCGGTGGAGAGCTATGATAATTTGAATGGGGAGTTGCGAGATAGCGTGGGGGGGATGCGGGGTGAGATTGTTAATGTTATTGAGAAGTTGAGGGTGAGTAGTTGATGGGGGTGAGTCAGGAAATTATTAATTTATTAATTGGGGTAAGTTTGGTAAGCAGAAGAAACTAAGTAGACTGATTTACATTTATAAAATATATTCTTACAAACTGTAGTGTCCATGTGTTGATTTTTTTCGTTACAAAAAACGGAGTTTTTGGCTTATTGAAGAGTTTCACTAATATTAATATAAAATTAAAAGGGTAATTGATCTTAAAAATAATCAGTGATTAATTATTTAAACATGAATTTAACCAAAAAAAAAAAAAAAAACTAGGGAGTATAAACTGGCTTTTTGTAGAAGTCAGGAAATGAAATAATGAAATAAGATGTATACACTTGAACACCAAAAAAGTCTCCAAGTAGTATTAAATGTAATCCTGACACTGTATTAAAAGCCAAAATGTGTCTTCATGTAAATAAAAATATTAATTTTTGCTTTAGTTGGTGATTATTTATTTTTCGTGTCCGTTGATTTTTAAAATTTATGCTCTAGTTGGCCATGACGCTTATGTCAGCGGTGAAATTGAAACGGCTGACGTAGGCGTCATGGCCAACTAGAAAAGAAATTTAAAAATCACCCAAATAAAAAACTGACTTTCCAGTGAGCTAAGCTTTGTTAAAAAAAATAACTACAGCTGGAATTGTTAAAAAAAGATTATTCATATTTTTATGAAGTGTGAGTCAGTGTACTCCAAACCGTTTAAAATGCAGTAAACACCTCGTTTACTTTCATGAGTTGACGTTTCACTGATTCAGAATTTCGGAGCGTATTAATTAGTGGCAGGGAAACAAATATACAATTCTAATCTACTAGATAATAAATTATTATCAGCTGCATATGATTTACATCAATTTCGACACGATCCTGGTGAATTTCCATAAAGGAAAGCCGTTCCATTTGTGGTGGATATGTCATGCTTGAGGTAAACGATTCAACGAATACATTTTTTTTTATCGAAGAATTGATGTCGAAATAAACATCTGGGGGTCGAAATCTACAAGAAAACGTATTTGGGTGATTTTCGATTATGGTCAAGAAATGCTCAATATTTTCACAAAGATGTAAGTATCGAAAATTTAGCTTTTGAAAAAGTGGCGTAAAAGTACACAAAAAATTCCGGGATCTTGACCTCCTGATCCGAAAAATATAGCTTGCTTACAGTCTGGGAGTAACATTTTACAAAATATTCAATTCAGTTTTTTAAAAATCTTGAGAACCGTCATATTTTGATTGGCAATTCCAAAAAAATACTAGGAGTTATCGAAGAAATGAGGCTGAAATTAACTTCTGGAGGTCGAAATCTACAAGAAAATGTCTTCAGGTCATTTTCGAAAATGTCGAAAAATTGAGTGTTTAAAAAAGTTGCCTGAAAATTCCCAAAAAATTCGGGAGTGTATATTTTGACTTGCTGATTCGAAAAATATAGCGTGTTACAGTCTAGGAGCAACATTTTACAAAATAGTCAGTTTGAAAATTTTTTTTTTTTAATTTTGAAATCCACGATATTTCGATTGACGATTCCGGAAAAATGGTGGGAGTTGTCGAACAAAAGAGGCCGAAATTGACTTCTAAAGGTCCAAATGTACAAGAAAATGTCTTTGGGTAATTTTCGAAAATGACCGAAAATGGGTCAAAAATTTCATAAAGAAAAATCGAGCTTTTGAAAAAGTTGCGTAAAAATCTCATAAAAATTCAGGGTTGTAGATCTAATTCGGAAAATGTGCCTCGTTTACGGTTCCGGAGCAACATTTTTAAAATATTCGGTTTGAAATTCAATTTTTTAAAAAATGTTTTAAGTTGCCCTTTTTCGATTCGCGATTCTGGAAAAATGGTAGGGATTATTGAAGAAATGAGGCAGAATTAACTTCTGGAGTTCGAAAACTACAGGAAAATGCCTCTAGGTAATTTTAGAAAATCGTAGAACAATGCTCAAAATTTTCATAATTGACTTTTTGAAAAAGTTGCCTAAAATCTGCAAAAATTCAAGGATGTAGGTCTCGATGTGTTGATTCGAAAAACCTAGCGTGTTTACGGTTCTGGAGGGACGTTTTAGAAGTACTTGGTTTGAAATTCCATTTTTCAAAAAATGTTTTAAATTGTCATTTTTCAATTAGCGATTCCAAAAAAAAACTAGGATTTATCGAAGAAATGAGGCTGAAATTAACTTTTGGAGGTCGAAATCTACAAGAAAATGTCTTCAGGTTATTTTCGAAAATGGTCGAAAGAGTAAAAATTTTCATAAAGGGGAAGTATTGAAAAAATGAGTTTTTAAAAAAGTTGCCTGAAAATTTCCAAAAAATTCAGGGGTGTAGATTTTGACTTGCTGATTCGAAAAATATATCGTGTTACAGTCTAGGAGCAACATTTTACAAAATAGTCAGTATGAAATTATTTTTTTTTTTAATTTTGAAATCCATCATATTTCGATTGACGATTCCGGGAAAATGGTGGGAGTTGTCGAAGAAAAGAGGCCGAAATTGACTTCGAAAGGTCCAAATGTACAAGAAAATGTCTTTGGGTAATTTTCGAAAATGACCGAAAGTGGGTCAAAATTTTCATAAAAAAAATTGAGCTTTTGAAAAAGTTGCTTAAAAATCCGCAAAAAATGCAGAGATGTAGATGTCGACGTGCTGATTCGAAAAATATAACGTATTTACGGTCTCGAGGCAACACTTTAAAAATATTCGGTTTGAATTTGAGTTTTTACAAAATGGTTTCAATTGCCATTTTTCGATTAGCAATTCCGGAAAAATACTAGAAGTTATCGAAGAAATGAGGCTGAAATTAACTTCTGGAAGTCGAAATCTACAAGAAATATCATTTTTTTATTTTCGAAAATGGTTGAAAAATGCTCAAAATTTTCATAAGGGAATTGAAAAATTGAGCTTTGAAAAAGTTGCCTAAAAATCCTTAAAATTCAGAGATGTAGATCTCGACGTACTGATTCTAAAAATATAGCGTCTTTACGGTTCCGATGTAACAGTTTGGAAATATCTGGTTTGAAATTAATTTTTTTCAAAAATCTTCAAAATTGCCGCATTTCGATTGGAGATTCCGGTAAAATGGTAGGAGTTATCGAAGAAGTGACGTCGCAATTAACTTCTGGAGGTCGAAATCTGCAAGAAAATGTTTTTGGGTAATTTACGAAAATGGTCGAAAAAGAGCCAAAATTCTCAAAAAAAATTGAGCCTTTGAAAAAGTTGCTTAAAAATCCGCAAAAAATTCAGAGATGTATATGTCGACGGGCTGATTCTAAAAATATAGCCTGTTTAGAGTCCCGGGGCCACATTCTAAAAATATTCGGTTTGAAATTTGTTACAAAATGTTTTCAATTGCCATTTTTCGATTGGCGATTCCGGAAAAATAATAGGAGTGATCGAAGAAATGAAGCCGAAATTAACTTCTGGAAGTCGAAATCTACAAAAAATCTACATCTTTGGGTAATTTTCGAAAATGGTCGAAAAATGCTCCAAATTTTCATGAGGAATTGAAAAATTGACCTTTTGTACAAGTTGCCTACAAATGCTCAAAAAATTCAGAGATGTAGATCTCGACGTGCTGAGTCGATAAATATAGTTACTACATATTACAGTCCCGGAGCAACATTTTGGAAATATTCGACGTGAAATTAGTTCTTTTTAAATCTTGAAAACTGGCATATTTCGATTGGCGATTCTGGAAAAATGGTGGGACTTGTCGAAGCAAAAAAAGGCCAAAATGTACTTCTGAGGGTCCAAGTTTAGAAGAAAATGTCTCTGGGTAATTTTCAAAAATGGTCGAAAGAGTCAAAATTTTCATAAAGGGGAAGTATTGAAAAATTCAGATTTTGAAAAAGTTGCCTGAAAATTCGCAAAAAATTCTGGGATGTAGATTTACATTTGCTGATTGAAAAATATGGCTTGTTTACGGTCCTGGAGTAACATTTTAGAAGTATTCGATTTTTAAATTAAATTAAAAAAAAATGTTTTAAATTGCCATTTTCAATTGGAGTTTCCGGAAAAATAGTAGGAGTTATCTAAAAAAAGAGGTCCAAATTTACTCTTGAAGGTTGAACTCTACAAGAAAATGTTTTTCGATAATTTTCGAAAAGGTTCAAAATTATCGGAAGGGAATATTGAAAAATTGAGTTTTTGAAAACGTTGCATAAAAATCCGCAAAAAATTCAGTAATGTGGATCTGGACGTCTTGAGTCGAAAAATATAGTGTGTTTACAGTTCCGGAGCAACATTTTATAAATATTCAGTTTGAAATTATTTTTTTTTAATCTTGAAAATCGCCATATTTCAATTTGGGATTCCGGAAAAATGGTGGGAGGGTTCGAAGAAAAGAGGCCAAAATTTACTTCTGGAAGTCGAAATCCACAGGAAAATGTCTTTGGGTAATTTTCGAAAATGGTCGAAAAAGTCAAAATTTTCAAAAAAAAATTGAGCCTTTGAAAAAGTTGCCAGAAAATCCGCAAAAAATTCTGGGATGTAGAGCTACATTTGCTGATTGAAAAATATGGCTTGTTCAAGGTCCTTTTAGAAGTATTCGATTTTGAAATTAAATTAAAAAAAAAAGTTTTAAATTGCCATTTTTCAATTGGTATTTCCGGAAAAATAGTAGGAGTTATCTAAAAAAAAGAGGTCCAAATTTACTCTTGAAGGTTGAACTCTACAAGAAAATGTTTTTCGATAATTTTCGAAAAGGTTTAAAATTATCGTAAGGGAATATTGAAAAATTGAGTTTTTGGAAAAGTTGCCTAAAAATCCGCAAAAAATTCAGGGCTGTGGATCTGGACGTCTTGAGTCGAAAAATATAGTGTGTTTACAGTTCCAGAGCAACATTTTATAAATATTCAGTTTGAAATTATTTTTTTTAAATCTTGAAAATCGCCATATTTCAATTTGGAATTCCGGAAAAATGGTGGGAGGGTTCGAAGAAAAGAGGCCAAAATTTACTTCTGGAAGTCGAAATCTACAGGAAAATGTCTTTGGGTAATTTTCGAAAATGGTCGAAAGTCAAAATTAAAAAAAAAAAATTGAGCTTTTGAAAAAGTTGTCAGAAAATCCGCAAAAAATTCTGGGATGTAGATCTCCATTTGCTGATTGAAAAATATGGCTTGTTCAAGGTCCTTTTAGAAGTATTCGATTTCGAAATTAAATAAAAAAAAATGTTTTAAATTGCCATTTTCAATCGGAGTTTCCGGAAAAGTAGTAGGAGATATCTAAAAAGGAGGTCCAAATTTACTCTTGTAGGTTGAACTCTACAAGAAAATGTTTTTCGATAATTTTCGAAAAGGTTCAAAATTATCGTAAGGAAATATTGAAAAATCGAGTTTTTGAAAAAGTTGCCTAAAAATCCGCAAAAAATTCAGGGATGTAGATCTCCGTTTGCTGATTGAAAAATAAGGTTGTTTAAGGTCCTGGAGTAACATTTCAGGAGTATTCAATTTTGAAATTAAATTAAAAAAAAAATGTTTTAAATTGCCATTTTCAATTGGAGCTTTCTGAAAAATAGCAGGAGTTATCTAAAAAAAGAGGTCGAAATTTACTCTTGAAGGTTGAACTGTACAAGAAAATGTTTTTCGATAATTTTCGAAAAGGTTCAAAATTATCGTAAGGAAATATTGAAAAATTGAGTTTTTGAAAAAGTTGCCTAAAAATCCGCAAAAAATTCAGGAATGTGGATCTGGACGTCTTGAGTCGAAAAATATAGTGTGTTTACAGTTCCGGAGCAAGATTTTATAAATATTCAGTTTGAAATTTTTTTTTTAATCTTGAAAATCGCCATTTTTCAATTTGGGATTCCGGAAAAATGGTGGCAGGGTTCGAAGAAAAGAGGCCAAAATTTGCTTCTGGAAATCGAAATCCACAGGAAATTGTCTTTGGGTAATTTTCGAAAATGGTCGAAAAAGTCAAAATTTTCAAAAAAAATTGAGCTTTTGAAAAAGTTGCCAGAAAATCCGCAAAAAATTCTGGGATGTAGATTTACATTTGCTGATTGAAAAATATGGCTTGTTTACGGTTCTGGAGTAACATTTTAGAAGTATTCGATTTTGAAATTGAATTAAAAAAAAAAGTTTTAACTTGCCACTTTTCAATTGGAGTTTCCGGAAAAATAGTAGGAGTTATCTAAAAAACGAGTTCCAAATTTACTCTTGAAGGTTGAACTCTACAAGAAAATGTTTTTTGATAATTTTCGAAAAGGTTCAAAATTATCGTAAGGAAATATTGAAAAATTGAGTTTTTGAAAAAGTTGTCTAAAAATCCGCAAAAAATTCAGGAATGTGGATCTGGACGTCTTGAGTCGAAAAATATAGTGTGGTTACAGTTCCGGAGCAAGATTTTATAAATATTCAGTTTGAAATTATTTTTTTTAAATCTTGAAAATCGCCATATTTCAATTTGGGATTCCGGAAAAATGGTGGGAGGGTTCGAAGAAAAGAGGCCAAAATTTACTTCTGGAAGTCGAAATCTACAGGAAAATGTCTTTGGGTAATTTTCGAAAATGGTCGAAAAAGTAAAAATTTTCAAAAAAAAATTGAGCTTTTGAAAAAGTTGCCAGAAAATCCGCAAAAAATTCTGGGATGTAGATCTCCATTTGCTGATTGAAAAATATGGCTTGTTTAAGGTCCTGGAGTAACATTTTAGAAGTATTCGATTTTGAAATTAAACAAAAAAAAATGTTTTAAATTGCCATTTTCAATGGGAGTTTTTCGGAAAAGTAGTAGGAGTTATCTAAAAAAAGAGGTCCAAATTTACTCTGGTAGGTTGAACTCTACAAGAAAATGTTTATCGATAATTTTCGAAAAGGTTCAAAATTATCGTAAGGGAATATTGAAAAATTGAGTTTTTGAAAAAATTGCCTAAAAATCCGCAAAAAATTCAGGAATGTGGATCTGGACGTCTTGAGTCGAAAAATATAGTGTGTTTACAGTTCCGGAGCAACATTTTATAAATATTGTTTGAAATTATTTTTTTTTAATCTTGAAAATCGCCAATTTCAATTTGGGATTCCGGAAAAATGGTGGGAGGGTTCGAAGAAAAGAGGCCAAAATTTACTTCTGGAAGTCGAAATCCACAGGAAAATGTCTCTGGGTAATTTTCGAAAATGGTCGAAAGAGTCAAAATTTTCAAAAAAAAAATTGAGCTTTTGAAAAAGTTACCAGAAAATCCGCAAAAAATTCTGGGATGTAGATTTACATTTGCCGATTGAAAATTGTGGCTTGTTTACGGTCCTGGAGTAACACTGTAGAAGTATTCGATTTTGAAATTAAATTAAAAAAAAAGTTTTAAATTGCCATTTTTCAACTGGTATTTCCGGAAAAATACTAGGAGTTATCTAAAAAAAGAAGTCCAAATTTACTCTTGAAGGCTGAACTCGACAAGAAAATGTTTTTCGATAATTTTCGAAAAGGTTCAAAATTATCGTAAGGGAATATTGATAAATTGAGTTTTTGAAAAAGTTGCCTAAAAATCCGCAAAAAATTCAGGAGTGTAGATCTGGACGTCTTGAATAAAAAAATATAGTGTGTTTACAGTTCCGGAGCAACATTTTATAAATATTCAGTTTGAAATTATTTTTTTTAAATCTTGAAAATCGCCATATTTCAATTTGGGATTCCGGAAAAATGGTGGGAGGGTTCGAAGAAAAGAGGCCAAAATTTACTTCTGAAAGTCGAAATCTACAGGAAAATGTCTTTGGGTAATTTTTGAAAATGGTCAAAAAAGTCAAAATTTTCAAAAAAGAGCTTTTGAAAAAGTTGCCTGAAAATCCGCAAAAAATTCAGGGATATAGATTTTCATTTGCTGATTGAAAAATATGGCTTGTTTACGGTCCTGGAGTAACATTGTAGAAGTATTAGATTTTGTAATTAAATTAAAAAAAAGTTTTAAATTGCCACTTTTCAATTGGTATTTCCGAAAAAATAGTAGGAGTTATCTAAAAAAAGAGGTCCAAATGTACTCTTGAAGGTTGAACTCTAAAAGCAAATGTTTTTCGATAATTTTCGAAAAGGTTCAAAATTATCGTAAGGGAATATTGAAAAACTGAGTTTTTGAAAAAGTTGCCTAAAAATCAGCAAAAAATTCAGGAATGTAGATCTGGACGTCTTGAGTAAAAAATATAGTGTTTTTACAGTTCCGGGGCAACATTTTATAAATATTCAGTTTGAAACCAATTTTTTTAAATCTTGAAAACCGTCATATTTCGATTGACGATTCCGGAAAAATGGTGGGAGTCGAAGAAAAGAGGCCAAAATTTGTTTCTGGAGGTCTAAGTCGGGAAGAACATATCTTTGCATAATTTTCGAAAATGGTTGAAAAAGATTCAAAATTTTCAGTGTATTGAAAAATTAAACTTTTGAAAAAGTTGCTCAAAAATCCTCAAAAAATTCAGGGAGGTAGATTTCGACGTGTTGATTCCAAAAATATAGCAACATTTTGAAAATATTTGATTTGACATTTAATTTTTTTTTTATCTTAACTGCCATATTTCGATTTGCGATTCCGGTCAAACACCAGGAATTATCAAAAATTGTCAAAAACTGCCCAAAATTTTCTGAAACGAGTATGTATTGCAAAATCGAGCATTTGAAAAAGTCGCCTAAAAACCCTCGAAAAATTCAGGGACGTAGATCTCGACCTTCTGTTTAAAAAAATACAGCTTGCTTACGGTCCCGGAGTAACATTTTCGAAAAATTCGACTTGAAATTGAACTTTAAAAAAAAACTTAAAAATTGTCATATTTCCATTGAACATTTGGGAAAAATGATAGGAGTCATCGAAGAAATGAGGGCGAAATCAACTTCTGGAGGTCGAAATCTACAAAAAAATGTCTAGGTAATTTTCGAAAATAGCCAAACGATGAAAATTTTCATAAGTGTAAATATTGTGACTTAATGATTTATTCTATTTAAAAGAAAGGTTCGTGTTCTCAATTTTGACTAGATTCATGTATTTGTGTTACAGTATACATGTTGAAATTGTCTCCCACCACAAATTTGATGACGTCTTCAAAAAATTATTAATCTGAGATTCATTGTTTTGATTTTTGTTACTCCAGTTTTTGTTACTTTCAAATTGGAGCAGTGTGAATCGGGATGTGGGCGTGATTTCCAGGTCGTGAATGAATGCTTAACAGCAGAGAAAAGTTTTATTATAAAATTTAACATTTAGTTATAAAAATAATGCATAATCTGGTTGTAAATTGTATCAATCATAGAACGTGATTACACACCCACTGGCTTACACCGTACTGGTAAAAACATTTATAAAATATATGGGTCGTCTATAAAAGGGTTGGTACTTGAGCTGTTGCTCCTCTCAGTCTTGCGCACAATTCAATTGGCCACAATACTGCGAAGTGGCAAACGCCACTTGGTCACACCTACACCTATCACACTAATACCCAATCGCTTAAATAGAATACAAGAATTTGTACATCGCCATCCACACTCGAAAAAATGCGTTAAACTAAAGTGACACAAGGCATATTGGTTCCCCTTAAGCCTCCACGCTCGGGGGCACCCACCCCCCGAACGCCTTCTCCAGCTCCACTGCCACAGCCAAGCACAACCTGTCGTTCTTGGTGTTCGCCACCACCTGCACCCCGATCGGCAGCCCCTCGCTGTTCAACCCCATCGGGATGTTGGTCGCCGGGAACCCAAGAACGTTGATGATGGCAGTGTAGCTGAAATTGAACGGTTTAACCAGAGGCTCGTTATGGAAAGGCGCGGCCGTGGGGTGCGTGGGGTACAGGAACACCCCGTCATCCCCCAGCAAATCCTCCATCTCCCTCCTCAAGCGCCCCTTCTCCTCCACCAAATGCGTGTGCTTGTCGTCCCCGAACTTGCACCCCCCTTTATCCGCCAGCGCCGTCGCGATCCCGATGAAAGTGTGGTCCGACCTGCCGAAGCACCACTTCACCAGCTCCAGATACGGGTTGATCGACCCCTCCAGGTTGGCCGGCTGCTCCTGGAACGACGGGCCGTTCGGCGTCTTCATGTTGGCGAACCAGATCGGGCCGCTCTTGCGGAACCGCTGGATGGCCACCTTCTTCGTCTTGACCCCGTGGGCCTTCTCCAGGTGCACGCTGATCTTCCCGAACAGCTCCTTGATCTCGTGGTGCACCGGCGACACCGCCACCGAGCCCATGTCGACGTGCTGATTCGAAAAATATGGTGTGTTTAGGGGCCCAGGGCAACATTTTAAAAACACATATTCGCTTTGAAATTCACTTTTTTACAAAACGTTTTAAATTGCCATTTTTCGATTGGCGATTGTGGAAAAATACTAAAAGTTATCGAAGAAGTGAGGCCGAAATTAACTACTGGATGTTTAAATTGATAAGAAAATGTTTTTGGGTAACTTTCAAAAATGCTCAAAATTTTCAAAGGGAATTGAAAAATTGAGCTTTTGAAAAAGTTGCCTAAAAATCTTCAAAAAATTCAGGGATGTAGATCTTGACCTGCTGAGCCAAAAAATATAGCGTGTTTATGGTATCGGAACAACATTTTACAAAATATTCAGTTAAGTTTGAAATTCATTTTTTTTTAAATCTTGAAAACCACCATATTTCGATTGGCGATTCCCGACAAATGGTGAAATTTGTCGAAGAAAAGAGGCCGAAATTCAAATCTGGAGATCTTAAATCTACAAGAAAAAGTCTTTGGGTAATTTTCGAAAATGGTCGAAAAAGCGTCAAAATTTTCAAAAAAAATTGAACTCTGGAAAAAGTTGCTTAAAAATCCGCAAAAATTTAGAGATGTAGATGTCGGCGTGCTGATTCGAAAAATATAACGTTTTTACGGTTCCGAGGCAACATTTTAAAAATATTCCGTTTGAAATTCAGTTTTTTAAAAAATGTTTTAAATTGCGTTTTTCGATTAATGGTTCCGGAAAAATGGTAGGGGTTGTTGAAGAAATGAGGTTGAATTAACTTCTGGAGTTCGAAAAGTACAAGAAAATGCCTCTAGGCAAATTTAGAAAATGGTAGAAAAATGCTCCAAATTTTCATAAGGGGGTATTGAAAAACTGATTTTTTGAAAAAGTTGCCTAAAAATCCTCAAAAACTTCAGGGCTGTAGATCTCGACGTACTGATTCGACAAATATAGCGACTTTATGGTCCCGATGTAACAGGTTTGAAATATTTGGCTTGAAATTATTATTTTTTTTAATCTTTAAAATTGACACAATTTCGATTGGAGATTCCGGTAAAATAGTGGGAGTTATCGAAGAAGTGACGCCGCAATTAACTTCTGGAGGTCGAAATCTACAAGAAAATGTCTTTGGGTAATTTACGAAAATGGTCGAAAAAGAGTCAAAATAAAAAAAAAAAAAATTGAGCTTTTGAAAAAGTTGCCTAAAAATCCTCAAAAAATTCAGGGCTGTAGATCTCGACGTACTGATTCAAAAAATATCGCGACTTTATGGTCCCGATGTAACAGTTTTGAAATGTTTGGCTTGAAATTATTATTTTTTTTAATCTTTAAAATTGACACAATTTCGATTGGAGATTCCGGTAAAATAGTGGGAGTTATCGAAGAAGTGACGCCGCAGTTAACTTCTGGAGGTCGAAATCTACAGGAAAATGTCTTTGGATAATTTACGAAAATGGTCGAAAGAGTCGAAATTTTCAAAAAAAATTGAACTTTTGAAAAAGTTGCTTCAAAAATCCCCAAAAAATTCAGAGATGTAGATATCGACGTGCTGATTCGAAAAATATGGCGTGTTTATGCTATCGGAACAACATTTTACAAAATATTCAGTTAAGTTTTGAAATTAATTTTTTTTTTAAATCTTGAAAACCACCATATTCGGTTGGCGATTCCCGAAAAATGGTGAAAGTTGTCGAAGAGAAGAGGCCGAAATTTAAATCTGGAGATCCAAATCTACAAGAAAATGTCTCTGGGTAATTTTCGAAAATGGTCGAAAAAGCGTCAAAATAAAAAAAAATTGATTTTTGGAAAAGTTGCTCAAAAATCCTCAAAAAAATCAGGGAGGTAGATTACGACGTGTTGATTTCAAAAATATAACGTGTCTATGTTCCCGGAGCAACATTTTGGAAATATTTGATTTGACATTTAATTTTTTTTTTTTCAAATCTTAATTGCCATATTTCGATTTGCGATTCTGGTAAAACACCAGAAGTTATCGAAGAAATGAAGCCGAAATTATCTTCTGAAGGTCCAAATCTACAAGAAAATTTCTTTGGGTAATTTTCAAAATGGTCAAAAAATGCTCAAAATTTTCTTAAAGGAGTATGTATTCCAAAATCGAGCATTTGAGAAATTTGCCTAAATATTCGCACAAAATTCAGGGACATAGATTTCGAACTTCTGTTTCAAAAAATATAGCTTGCTTACGGTCCCGAAGTAACAATTTTGAAAAATTCTATTTGAAATTGAACTTTTTAAAACAATCTTAAAAATTTTCATATTTCCATTGAATATTTTGGAAAAATGATAGGAGTTATCAAAGATATAAGGCCGAAATCAACTTCTGGAGGTCGGAATCTACAAAAAAATTGAGCTTTTGAAAAAGTTGTCTAAAAATTCGCAAAAAATTCAGGGATGTAGATTTTCATTTGCTGATTGAAAAATATGGCTTGTTTACGGTCCTGGAGTAACATTGTAGAAGTATTCGATTTTGAAATTAAATTAAAAAAAAAAGTTGTAAATCGCCATATTTCAATTGGTATTTCCGGCAAAATAGTAGGAGTTATCTAAAAAAAGAGGTCCAAATTTACTCTTGAAGGTTGAACTCTACAAGAAAATGTTTTTCGATAATTTTCGAAAAGGTTCAAATTTATAGCAAGGGAATATTGATAAATTGAGTTTTTGAAAAAGTTGCCTAAAAATCTGCAAAAAATTCAGGAATGTAGATCTGGACGTCTTGAGTCGAAAAATATAGTGTATTTAGAGTTCCGGAGCAACACTTTATAAGTATTCAATTTGAAATTATTTTTTTTAAATCTTGAAAATCGCCATATTTCAATTTGGGATCCGGAAAAATGGTGGGAGGGTTCGAAGAAAAGAGGCCAAAATTTACTTGTGGAATTCGAGATCTACAGGAAAATGTCTTTGGATAATTTTCGAAAATGATCGAAAAAGTCAAAATTTTCAAAAAAAAAATTGAGCTTTTGAAAAAGTTGCCACAAAATCTGCAAAAAATTCTGGGATGTAGAGCTACATTTGCTGATTGAAAAATATGGCTTGTTTACGGTCCTGGAGTAACATTTTAGAAGTATTCGATTTTGAAATTAAATTAGAAAAAAATATTTTAAATTGCCATTTTGAATTGGAGTTTCCGGAAAAATAGTAGGAGTTATCTAAAAAAAGAGGTCCAAATTTACTCTTGAAAGTTGAACTCTAAAAGAAAATGTTTTTAGATAATTTTCGAAAAGGTTCAAAATTATCGTAAGGGAATATTGAAAAATTGAGTTTTTGAAAAAGTTGCCTAAAAATCCGCAAAAAATTCAGGAATGTGGATCTGGACGTCTTGAGTCGAAAAATAGTGTGTTTACAGTTCCGGAGCAACATTTTATAAATATTCAGTTTGAAATTATTTTTTTTAAATCTTGAAAATCGCCATATTTCAATTTGGAATTCCGGAAAAATGGTGGGAGGGTTCGAAGAAAAGAGGCCAAAATTTACTTCTGGAAGTCGAAATCTACAGGAAAATGTCTTTGGGTAATTTTCGAAAATGGTCGAAAAAGTAAAAATTTTCAAAAAAAATTGAGCTTTTGAAAAAGTTGCCAGAAAATCCGCAAAAAATTCTGGGATGTAGATTTACATTTGCTGATTGAAAAATATGGCTTGTTTACGGTTCTGGAGTAACATTTTAGAAGTATTCGATTTTGAAATTAAATTTAAAAAAAATGTTTTAACTTGCCACTTTTCAATTGGAGTTTCCGGAAAAATAGTAGGAGTTATCTAAAAAAAGAGGTCCAAATTTACTCTTGAAGGTTGAACTCTACAAGAAAATGTTTTTCGATAATTTTCGAAAAGGTTCAAATTTATAGCAAGGGAATATTGATAAATTGAGTTTTTGAAAAAGTTGCCTAAAAATCCGCAAAAAATTCAGGAATGTGGATATGGACGTCTTGAGTCGAAAAATATAGTGTGTTTACAGTTCCGGAGCAACATTTTAGAAATATTCAGTTTGAAATTATTTTTTTTAAATCTTGAAAATCGCCATCTTTCAATTTGGGATCCGGAAAATGGTGGGAATTGTCAAAGAAAAATTTACTTTCGGAAGTCTAAATGTAGAAGAAATGTTTTTGGGTAATTTTCGAAAATGGTCGAAAACGATTCAAAAATTTTGGTAAAAGAATTTTGAAACCTTGAGCTTTTGAAAAAGTTGCCTGAAAATCCGCAAAAAATTCAGGGATGTAGATCTCCATTTGCTGATTGAAAAACATGGCTTGTTTACGGTCCTGGAGTAACATTGTAGAAGTATTCGATTTTGAAATTAAATTAAAAAAAAAGTTTTAAATTGCCATTTATCAATTGGTATTTCCGAAAAAATAGTAGGAGTTATCTAAAAAAAGAGGTCCAAATTTACTCTTGAAGGTTGAACTCTACAAGAAAATGATTTTCGATAATTTTCGAAAAGGTTCAACATTATCGTAAGGAAATATTGAAAAATTGAGTTTTTGAAAAATTTGCCTAAAAAATTCAGGAATGTGGATCTGGACGTCTTGAGTCGAAAAATATAGTGTGTTTACAGTTCCGAAGCCACATTTTATAAATATTCAGTTTGAAACTATTTTTTTTAAATCTTGAAAATCGCCATATTTCAATTTGGGATTCCAGAAAAATGGTGGAAGGGTTCGAAGAAAAGAGGCCAAAATTTACTTCTGGAAGTCGAAATCCATAGGAAAATATCTTTGGGTAATTTTCGAAAATAGTCGAAAAAGTAAAAATTTTCAAAAAAAACTGAGCTTTTGAAAAAGTTGCCAGAAATTCCGCAAAAAATTAAGGGATGTAGAGGGATGTAGAGTTACATTTGCTGATTGAAAAATATGGCTTGTTTACGGCCCTGGAGAAGTTTTCGATTTTGAAATTAAATTAAAAAAAAAAGTTTTAAATTGCCATTTTTCAATTGGTATTTCCGGAAAAATAGCAGGATTTATCTAAAAAAAGAGGTCCAAATGTACTCTTGAAGGTTGAACTCTAAAAGAAAATGTTTTTCGATAATTTTCGAAAAGGTTCAAAATTATCGTAAGGGAATATTGAAAACCTGAGTTTTTGAAAAAGTTGCCTAAAAATCAGCAAAAAATTCAGGAATGTAGATCTGGACGTCTTGAGTCGAAAAATATATTGTGTTTTTACAGTTCCGGAGCAACATTTTATAAATATTCAGTTTGAAACCAATTTTTTTAAATCTTGAAAACCGTCATATTTCGATTGACGATTCCGGAAAAATGGTGGGAGTTGTCGAAGAAAAGAGGCCAAAATTTGCTTCTGGAGGTCTAAGTCGGGAAGAAAATATCTTTGCATAATTTTCAAAAATGGTTGAAAAAGATTCAAAATTTTCAGTGTATTGGAAAATTAAACTTTTGAAAAAGTTGCTCAAAAATCCTCAAAAAATTCAGGGAGGTAGATTTCGACGTGTTGATTCCAAAAATATAGCAACATTTTGAAAATATTTGATTTGAAATTTAATTTTTTTTTTAATTAACTGCCATACTTCGATTTGCGATTCCGGTCAAACACCAGGAATTATCGAAGAAATGAAGTCGAAATCTACAAAAAAATGTCTTCGAATAATTTTGAAAATTGTCAAAAACTGCCCAAAATTTTCTGAAACGAGTATGTATTGCAAAATCGAGCATTTGAAAAAGTCGCCTAAAAACCCTCGAAAAATTCAGGGACGTAGATCTCGACCTTCTGTTTAAAAAAATACAGCTTGCTTACGGTCCCGGAGTAACATTTTCGAAATATTCGACTTGAAATTGAACTTTAAAAAAAAACTTAAAAATTGTCATATTTCCATTGAACATTTCGGAAAAATGATAGGAGTCATCGAAGAAATGAGGGCGAAATCAACTTCTGGAGGTCGAAATCTACAAAAAAGTGTTTAGGTAATTTTCGAAAATGGCCAAACGATGTTCAAAATTTTCATAAGTGTAAAGATTGTGACTTATTGATTTACTGTATTTAAAAGAAAGGTTCGTGTTGTCAATTTCGACTAGATTCACATACTATAGAAGTATTTGTGTCACAAATACATGTTAAAATGTCTCCCACCACAAAGTCGATGACGTCCTCAAAAAATTATTAATCTGAGATTCAGTGTTTTGATCTTTGTTAATCCAGTTTTTGTCACTTTCAAATTGGAGCAGTGTGAATCGGGATATGGTCGTGATTTCCAGGTCGTGAATGAATGCTTAACAGCAGAGAAAAGTTTTATTATAAAATTTAACATTTAGTTATAAAAATAATGCATAATCTGGTTGTAAATTGTATCAATCATAGAACGTGATTACACACCCACTGGCTTACAGCGTACTGGTAAAAACATTTATAAAATATATGGGTCGTCTATAAAAGGGTTGGTACTTGAGCTGTTGCTCCTCTCAGTCTTGCGCACAATTCAATTGGCCACAATACTGCGAAGTGGCAAACGCCACTTGGTCACACCTACACCTATCACACTAATACCCAATCGCTTAAATAGAATACAAGAATTTGTACATCGCCATCCACACTCGAAAAAATGCGTTAAACTAAAGTGACACAAGGCATATTGGTTCCCCTTAAGCCTCCACGCTCGGGGGCACCCACCCCCCGAACGCCTTCTCCAGCTCCACCGCCACAGCCAAGCACAACCTGTCGTTCTTGGTGTTCGCCACCACCTGCACCCCGATCGGCAGCCCCTCGCTGTTCAACCCCATCGGGATGTTGGTCGCCGGGAACCCAAGAACGTTGATGATGGCAGTGTAGCTGAAATTGAACGGTTTAACCAGAGGCTCGTTATGGAAAGGCGCGGCCGTGGGGTGCGTCGGGTACAAGAACACCCCGTCATCCCCCAGCAAATCCTCCATCTCCCTCCTCAAGCGCCCCTTCTCCTCCACCAAATGCGTGTGCTTGTCGTCCCCGAACTTGCACCCCCCTTTATCCGCCAGCGCCGTCGCGATCCCGATGAAAGTGTGGTCCGACCTGCCGAAGCACCACTTCACCAGCTCCAGATACGGGTTGATCGACCCCTCCAGGTTGGCCAGCTGCTCCTGGAACGACGGCCCGTTCGGCGTCTTCATGTTGGCGAACCAGATCGGGCCGCTCTTGCGGAACCGCTGGATGGCCACCTTCTTCGTCTTGACCCCGTGGGCCTTCTCTAGGTGCACGCTGATCTTCCCGAACAGCTCCTTGATCTCGTGGTGCACCGGCGACACCGCCACCGAGCCCATGTCGCTGTCCTGGTAGTAGAAATTCAACTGCTTGACGTCGACGGGCTCGTCGAGGCGCAGCTCGGCCGCGTTCTTCCCGGCGATGATCTTCAGCAAGGGGAGGAGGTCCTCGGCGCGCCGGCACATGGGCCCGATCCCCAAGAAGCTCATCTGGTCGATGGTGATGGGGGTGGGGTACTGGCCGTTGTTGGAGACCATGAACTTGGAGGGCTTGTGGCCGAAGATGCCGTTGAAGAAGGAGGGCATGCGGATGGAGCCGCCGATGTCGGAGCCGATGCCGAAGGCCGAGCCGGCCGCCCCCTGGAGGCAGCCCTCGCCGCCGGAGGAGCCGCCGACGATGTGGTTGGTGTTGTAGGGGTTGGAGGAGCGGCCGTGGAGGGTGTTGGCGCTCTCCCACCTGCAACACAGAGGGGGTGAGTGAGTTGGGGACGGCGATAAAACGAATTAGAGTTGTTTGTGATGTTTGTTATTGATTTGAAGACTGCTGCTGGTTTTGGTTAGGCGGGGTGTTATTAATTGGGTGGGAATGGGGTAAGCCCAAGGCTGTAGTTTCAGGTTGGTAAACAATAAATATGTCAATACCTGCAGGTGGTGGAGTAAAATTAATGCGAGGTTTATTATGATAATTTATAAGAGTTAAGTTTACTTAAGTAAGTTAAATTATGGAGACATGGGTTTAAGTACACACTCTGAAATAACTTCGATTCTTTTTTTTATATACACAGGCTATTTTTAAAAGAAACTTTGGGTTTTTTGGCTTATGACGTCGGAGTTAGGGTTCCATGACCGAGCCTTTTGTCTACCTACTAGTGTGGTAAATTGTCTAAAATTAATTAGAAAGAATTTCCATTCAATTCAATCAAACAAATCCAACTCGTTAGATAAATAAAAAAAAAGAAAAAGATTTTGCAATTTTTTTTTGATAACCCCTATAAGTTAAAATTAAAACAGAGGGATGGGTTTTTAAATTACAGGTTATAAGCATGCTATCTGCATGTTTTGAGTGAGTCTTTCATAATAAAATTTTGTGATGACGTCATCAACCTTTTAAATGCAAGTTCTTGATTGCCAATTTTAAAATTTTTCAAACTTTTCATTTTACACTTTTTCGTTTTTTTATTTTCGATTTTTCAGTTTTACAATTTTGCAATTTTTCCATTTTTTTTATTCGAAAAGTTGAAAAATCGAAAAAATTAATGAATCTAAAAATTGGAACCAAGAAAAACGAATCAAATCGATAAATTGGAAAATCCAAAAATGCTAAAATCGAAAAAGTATAGAATCGTCAAAATTGTCGAAAAACTGAAAAATTAAATATCGAGAAACTAAAAACTTGAAAATTGAAAAATAGAAAGATTCTGAAATCGTAAAAATGAAAAACTGAAAATTGAGAAAAAATGCAGAAAAGGATGACAAAAAAAGCGAAAAAAGAGCCACAAAAAAGCCTGTAAGAAAACAGGAATAAAAAAAGGGAGTTAAAATTGGCCATAAGAAAAAGGACTAAAAAAAGTCAAAAAATGCTACCAAAAATGGTGAGATAAAAAGGGCGACAAAAAAACAGGCGACAAAAGACGATCGAAAATAGACAAAAAAAAAAAAGGCGAAACAAAAGACGATTGGTTAAAAAAACGAAAAGCAAAAAACGCGAAAAAACTGTTCAAAAATGATGAACAACAAAGCGATAAAACCAAAAAATAACGATAAAAAAGTGACTAAAAATGGTGTCAAACAATGCTACTAAAAATGGTGAGACAAAAAGGGCGAAAGAGCTAAAAAAGTAGGTGAAAGACGACCAAAAAAATGTAAAAAAAACATGGGAATTAAAAATGCAAAAAATCCCAACGAAAAACACAAAAAAATCGGTATAAAAATGGTGCGAAAAAAAAAGGACAAAAAAAAAAACGAAAAAAAAGGAGCCAAAAAGGGCGACCAAAAATGGTGAGATAAAAAGGGCGAACAGAAAATGGTTTCGTTTTTTCAATTTTTTGTTTCACAATTTTGCAATTTTTCGACATTACAATTTTCCATTTTTCGATTTTTCAATTTCTTGTTTTTTTTGACTTTTCTCTTTTTCGCAATTTTTTAATTTTCGTGTTTTCGATTTTAAATCACAATTTTTCGTTTATTCAATTTTTCAATTTCACAATTTTTTTTATTTTCAATATTTATTATATATTTTACCATACATATTTTGTTTTTTTTCATTTTCCATTTTTAAGTTTATTAATTTTAATATTTTCGACTTTTGCAAGTTCTTGATTCCCAGTTTTTCAATTTTTTTTATTCGCAAAGTTGAAAAACTAAAAAAAGAAAAAATTAATGAACCGAAAAATTGGAAAGAAGAAAAAACAAATCGAATTGATAAATTGGAAAATCCAAAAATGCTGAAATCGAAAAAGTATAGAATCATCAATATTGAAAAATCGAAAAACTGTAAGACTAAAAGATCGGAAAATAGAAAAATTAAATATGTATCGAGAAATTAAAAAATTAAAAATCGAATAAATGAAAAAGTTTTGAAATCCAATAATTGAAAAATGGTAAAATTGTGAAATCGTAAAATTGAAAAAGCGAAAATCGATAAAAAATGCGGAAAAAAAGACGACAAAAAAAAAAAACAAAAAAAAAAAAAGGACGAAAAAAAAGCGAAAAAAAGGGCCATAAAAAAGTCCGTAAGAAAATGGGAATAAAAAAATGAGTTAAAATTGGCCTCAAGAAAAAGGACTAAAAAAAAGGGAGTCAAAAAAGACGATCAAAAATTGTGAAATAAAAACGGTGTACAGAAAAAATGGTTTCGTTTCTTCAATTTTTTGATTCACAATTTTTCAATTTTTCGTTTCCCCAGTTTTTCAAGATCTTTTTTTTTTGACTTTTCTCTTTTTCGCATTTTTTTAATTTTCGTGTTTTCGATTTTAAATCACAATTTTTCGTTTTTTATTTCCTTTTTTTTTCAATGTTTCTTTTGATTTTCTAATGTATCGTTTATTCAATTTTTCAATTTCGCAATTTTCTTAATTTTTAATATTTTCGACTTTTGCAAGTTCTTGATTTCCAGTTTTTAAATTTTTCAATTTAACAATTTTGCAATTTTTCAATTTTTTTTTATTCGAAAAGTTGAAAAACTAAAAAAAGAAAAAATTAATGAATCGAAAAAGTATAGAATCATCAATATTGTAAAGTCAAAAAACTGTAACACTGAAAAATTGAAAAATCGAAAAAATGAAAAAGTTTTGACATCCAAAAAATGAAAAATGGTAAAATTCTGAAATCGTATAATTGAAAAAGTGAAAACTGGGAAAAAGCGGAAAAAAGGACGACAAAAAATGGGAAAAAATTGCCACAAATAAAGCCCGTAAGAAAATGGGAATAAAAGAGGAAGTTAAAATTGGTCTCAAGACAAACGACTAAAAAAAGGGGGTCAAAAAACACGACCAAAATTGGTGAAATAAAAAGGGTGAACAAAAAAAAATGCATTCGTTTCTTAAATTTTTGATTCACAACTTTCCAATTTTGCAAATTTTCGATAATCTTTAATTTTTCGATTTCTCAGTTTTTCAAAATCTTGTCTTTTGATTTTTCTCTTTCCCAATTTTTTTATTTTCGTTTTCTCCATTTTCTATCACAATTTTTTGTTTTTTCATTTTCTTTATTTTTTCAATGTTTCTTTTGATTTTATAATTTTTCGTTTATTAAATTTTTCAAATTTTCAATTTTTGATTTTCTATTCCTTGATTTTCCTATTTTAAAAATTTTCAATTTAGTAATTTTTGAATTTCCAGTTATCCGATTTTTCCATTTCTTTGATTTCGCAATACATATTTGGTTTTTTGGATTTTTGAATATATAAACCAAAAAATTGGTAAATTGAATAAGTGGAAAATCGAAAAATTCAGAATCGAAAAACTCAAGAAACGAAAAAAGAAACATTGAAAAACTAAACATTCAAAAAAATTAATGAATCGAAAAATTGGAAAGAAAAACTAATCGAGTCAATAAATTAGAAAATCCAAAAATGTTAAAATCGGAAAAGTATAAAAACATCAAAATTGTAAAACCAAATCGAAAAACTGGACGATCGGAAAATTGAAAAATGAAATATGTATCGAGAAACTAAAAAATCAAAAATCGAATAAATTAAAAAGTTTTGCGATCAAATAATTGAAAAATGGTAAAATTTTGAAATCCTAAAATTGAAAAAAATGCGGAAAAAAGAACGACAAAAAAGTACGGAAAAAAGGGACGACAAAAAAAATCGAAAAAAGGGCTACAAAAAGCCCGTAAAAAAATCGGAATACAAAATGACTACCAAAAATGGTGAAATAATGAGGGTGAACCAAAAAAATGGTTTAGTGTCTTCAATTTTTGATTCACAATTTACGAATTTTGTAATTTTTTGACATTACAATCTTGCATTGTTCGATTTTTCTATTTCCCAATTTTTAATTTTTCGATCTTTTCTTTCCTTATTTTTCAATTTTCGTTTTCTCGATTTTAATCACAATTTTTCGTTTTTTCATATCTTTATTTTTTCAATGTTTCTATCGATATTATAATTTTTCGTTTATTAAATTTTTCAAATTTTCCTTGATTTTCCTATTTTAAAATTTTTCAATTTAGTATTTTTTTTTACAATACATATTTCGTTTTTTCAATTTTTGAATTTGTCGTTTCTTCAATTTTACAAGTTTTGATTTCCAATTTTTAGATTTCATTTTACGTTTTTTTATTTTTGATTTATCAATTTTACTGAAGAAATTAAAAATTGAAACACTGAAAAACTAAAAATCGGAAAAATTAGCGAATCGAAAAATTGAAAAGAAGAAAGATGAATCGAATCGATAAATTGGAAAATCCTGAAGACCGGAAAATTGAAAACATTTAATATTGAGAAACTAAAAATCTAAAAATCGAAAAATTAAAAATTCTGAAATGGTAACAATGAAAAACTGAAAACTGAAAAAAAATGCAGAAAAAAAGGACGATAAAAAAAGGGAAAAAAAGGGGCCACAAAAGAGCCCCTAAGAAAATGGGATTAAAAAAGGGAGTTAAAATTGGCCACAAGAAAAAGGACTAAAAACAGGGAGTCAAACAAAAGGCGACCACAAATGGTGAGATAAAAAGGGGGAACAAAAAATCAGGAAAAAAAGAGGGAAGCAGGCTCCTAAAAAATCGAAAAAAAAATAGATAAATACGAAAATAAGTGAGAAAAAAAAAATCAACAAAAAATAAAAGACAATAAAAATCGACAAAAAATCTTTAAAAAAAAAGGTGGCGAGAAAAAAATGCGCAAAAAAAGAAACAGGCGCCAAAAGAAAGACGATAAAAAAAGAAGAAAAGTAATATGGAGAGTAAAAACTGCGGAAAGAAACTAGAAAAAAACAAAAGACAAAATAAAAG